TGCTTCTGTTTCTATTCTGCTTTTTTTTTTTTTTTAAAGATTTATTTATTTATGCATACAAGAGCTGGGGTGTAAGCTAGAGGTGCCGGGGAGGGGATGGTGGTGGTAAGAGGATTCACCAGAAGCAGAGTGGGGAGCAGAGCAGGCAGATCTACTGAAATACACTGCTGAGGGGAGCAGTGGGTGAGACAGGAGAGGTCTGCTGCGCCATGTGGGTAGCTCCCTGGTGGGGGATCGAACTCATGCTGCAGCGGCTGCGGATAGCTTCATAGGTTGTGTTTTAATCCCTTGCGCCACAAGGGAGGCCCTTTATTCTGCTTTGATTAGAATTCAGTTTACTCATTTGATGCTAGTTTGCTAGGTTCAGATTATTTTCACACAGAAATAGTTATATTTTAGGAAGTTCTACAGCTAATGCTAATAAATAATTACTTAAGAATAGAACAATTTCAAGTATGTATCTCAATCTTATCATGCCTGGAATTTAGCTAGTTTTTAGTTATGGCATATGTCACCCTGCAATCTTTATTTTTCCAAAAAGACGATTCATAGTTAAACAGCCAAAGAAAAATTCATGCACCGCTTTGAGAGAACTAACCAGAGCTCCAGTCAGGTCAAAATGTCAACTGATTTCTTTTCTACTCCAACGATAGCTCCGTCTTGTGAGCCGACCCCCTTTGCCAGCACCCGCTGTAGGCATTGGTACTGTTCACCAGAAGCAGCATGAAGATGTCCTCACCAAGACCTTTGCTTGATGATATCCTTTGAAAAGATACTATTCCTTTTATGAAAATTGCCAGAAAAAGAAAGGACTGCTTTCCTCCTGCTCTCTCCTGTCTCATTAGATAACATGAAACCACTGTTTTCCTCTAAGATGTTGGGATTTATTAAGACAGTTTGATTTGGACTATGTGGAATAGCTAAGGAAATTGTTCATCAATATGTGAAATCCACAAGTCAATTTTATCTTTAAAAGTACAACAGTGTTATGTTTTGCTTACATCTGAGTGAGTTGTAGGGCTAAGTCATTATCCAGATTTTTTTATAGGTCACTCTAATTAACTATATATGCTCAGGAACAGCTCTTTTACTTGAATCTGTGCCTGTATATAGATGAACTCAGCAGCATCTCTCAATTTGTTTGATGGACATCTCTTTGGTTAATTTTTCACTTCTTTCTTTCAATATTTTTCTTTTATGTAATATCTGGTGCTGCTTTCCTGCCACTGTGAAAAATGTGTCACAAACACTGTAGCAAAACTACAGTATTCTTTCAAATTAGTTGTTTTACCCATTATTCTTAAATACAAGTCCTATTAAATGAAAATGTGTCTATGATCTTTTGGCATGGCTTTATTAAATTAAAGAGTTTAGTTTCATCGAAATTGATTTATGGGTGACTGTGCCATAGTATCTTTTCTTTTTAAATTGTTCTTGAAGTGATATCTTCATAGTTTAAGTTGACTTTGGGTGGCTGACATGGGGATTTCAGTCCCTGGTTAATCAGTCTTGCCTCTAAAAACTCTCTGATGCCATGTGATGTTTATATGTGGTTTTCAACGAGCACTTTAACTTTGACAACAGAGCTTCCCACTGCCAGGTATTTGGGATGATCTGGAGATCATCCACCTACCTCCTTAGTCTAAAATTAAATGTAGTAATTGAAAGATAACAGCAGAAAACTGTGTAGCATCACTTGACTTGGGGTTACAGAGACTCTACCACCTACCATTCTATGCTGGGGCGCTGTTCTCGGAAATGATGGGGGAAGTTCAGGGCATTGGGACACCCTCTCCACTTTTACTGGCAACTGGTAATGCTTTTCAGAACCAATGAATACGTTCTGGCTGTGGCAGTAAATTCGTGATTCATATCTTAAATGTATGCATTAGTTTATTGATTTAACATTTCTGTAATATTTACATTCCTTTTATTCCTTATATACCTTAGTGCTTTCTTCCTCTGTCAAGTCTTATAAATCATGTAACTTAGTGCCACTCATGTAAATCAGTAAAATCACAAAAATTTCAATGAGAACAATTATCAATGTTGTATGTTGAACTAGAAAAAAATAAAAGCAGTGTCAATTTTTCCCCAGATCTCTTGGTTTCTTGAATTAAAGAATTTCAAAAGTCTAAGGATGCAATGAAATGGAAAAGTAGATTTTTCTAGTGTAGCTTAGATCTCTCCAGATTTCTTATTTTATACTTCACAAGTCTGTTTTCTTACTACATCTTCTCCAACATGAGTCATGAAATATGTCTTCTATATTTTAACTATCTTACTTAATCACTACTGCAATATGCAGTGTTTTGAATTACTTTGCAGAAAGGGACCTTGTACAGAATTCCAAATCAAATACTCCCATAATAGAGTATTTATTATATGGGGTGACCATATAATAATAAGGTAAGATAAAAACATTTTAATTTAATACCCTTAAAATTTGATAATATGATACTTGTATCCCATTTATGTCTATGCTAATTTTATATTCAATGATGAATAGAGCTTAAATTAGACACTACTTCAATAGAGATAGTAACAATCATGAAAAAATTATAATTTTGTTGAAAATGATACATTCTTGAGTTAAAAAAAAAGTTTCTTCCTTAAAAAAACCTGATTTCTCAGTTTTCCATACACATACTATTTAGGGAAAATATTCTAAAGCATAGCTTTTTTTTTCACTGTGTTGCCTTTCAAGTTTATTTTTAGAAATACCTTTACTGATAATAAAAGTAGTATTCCTTTTACAAAATTGAGGGAATATGGTTTAAAGAAATTAGAGGTTACACTGGAAGTAAGTCATAGATTAAGAATCAAGACTTTGGGGTCTTGAGGTTCCAAAAGCTTCATTTACTTTTCTCTTGGGTTATTTAGATATTTGGTTTTCATCTTCAGCTTTTCATAAGGTTCAGGCTAAAATTACCATGTTTTTGGAAAATGTGGGCAAAGTATTTAAACCTTCAGTATTTATTTCACACAACCAAACAACTCAAATTACTTTGTAGAAGTAGAAATTTATTGTCCTCTTTGTATTTAAATCTGATAAAACACAATCTAAAACAGATTGTTATTTCACCACTGCCAATTGCAAAACCAGTTAATTTTAGAAAAAAAATTAATAAACATGTTATTACTTTGATATTTTTTCCCTGTGTCTTCTCTGACTCATATGTAGAACCAGCCAGAAATGAATAAAAGAAGTGACCCTATAAGAATGGAATGGTGTTTCCTCTCTTCAGTAGTTTACTGGATACCTGTCACATATATGGCATCGTTCTGGACATTAGAAATACATAGGAGTAAAAGATAGAATGGGTTTTTTTCTGTCCTCAATGGACTAACCACCTATTTGAGAAGACAGAGCATTGTACATGTTGAGAAACTAGTGTTCTTGGGTTTGGTCAAAGTAAAGTGATTGTCCTGATCAATACAGATTGGGTGGCACATTGTGCTTATGCAAGACAAAGTCTTGCTAGCATGTAGTAGCAGAAAGACTGAAGAAAGTTGGAAAGGTACTTCACATAAATTAGCTAGTGTCAGAGCTCATTCCCAGGTCCTTACCTGAAACACGGAGGTGTCCAGAAATAATCAGAGAACCATAGGCTACTTCTCTGTCAATTAGATTTTTACTTTAGTGTCTAATGAAAGAATATTATATGCATGAAATTATCTCTCCACCTAGTATCAGAACTGTATTGGAGTAAACTATTTACAGGTCATTATAGATGACAGAAAAAAATTGAGACTATCCCTGTTGTTCAGAAGTTTATGGTATAGTAGGGAAGATTAGACAAGTATGAAAAAGACTAAAACAAAGCAGAAGTGAGTTAAAAATGAAGTCATATTATGTGAGATTACTGCTTTGGCAGAACATTTTCCAAAAGAATTGGAGAAATTGCTTTTTGGCTAGAGCAATTATGTGTCTTGTTTCAGCAGCAGTGAGGTTGCAGAGGTTTAAATCTTGAGTAAAGAAAATAAATGAGGGCCTTATTATATGTCAAGCTCTTAATTTTCACACCTTTAGGAAGTGGCTATTGCCCTTATTTTATCTTTGTAACTCGGAAAGATTCATTGCCCAGAGCCATTAAGTAGAGGAGGAATTAAATGTAGGGCTGAAGGATTTCTAAGACAGTGCTTTCCCTTAAACCACGCTGGTCAAGAAGGGATTTAAGTCCAGACAAACATAATCCTGAGCTATTTTCGAAGAAGCTGAAGAAGGAGCACACATAGTAGTAGAGAGTTCTTAAGCTATTAACTATAGGTACTGTTTCACAAATTTTTTTAAAACTTCAAAAAGTTCCAATAAGATGCAAGCAAAAAGGAATGATTGGGGGGCCTGCCCGGTGGCGCAGCGGTTGAGCGCTGGGTTGCGAAGCTGTCCGCAGCCTCTGCAGCTGGGGTTCGATCCCCGGCTGCTCCCCGGCCACCGGAGGAGGGTCGTTCTACCTGCTCTGCTCCCCGCTCTGGCTCTGGTGAATTCTCTCATCCTCCCACGCTTCTGACTGTACCCAGTGCTTGTATAAATAAATAAATAAATAAAACACAAATGTTAAAAAAAAATAATAATAATGATTGGGTTACACCAGCTCTCAGGGAGGCTCAGCCCTGGCTCTCCAAATCCGAACCCCGGGCCCGTCCACTTCATGTAGCAGCAGGCTGGCTCCAGACCCTCCCCACCTGGCTGCACCCAGACCCTCCCCACCTGGCTGCACCCAGCCCGCAGCATTTCCGGCTGGGCACCCAGGAGAGCTCGAGAAATGGGGGTGCCTTGGACACCAAGCTCGGAAAAAAATGTGCCTCGAAGGGTAGATCCAGCCGCCCCAGGCAGGTGGAGGCTCCCAAACTCCCTGGGTCCGCCGGAGCAAGCTCCCTGGCAGCGCCGGCTGTAGCCATGGCAACGAGGCAAACGTCGGCCTCGGCAGCAGCCAACCGCCCGGGCCCCGGCAAGGGGCGGGGCGGGCGCGAGTCACGTGCGCAGGGGCGGAGCCTGCGCGGGGCCGGCCGGAGCGCGTCGGGAGCGGGCGCCGAGGCCCCAGCAGCGGGACCCCAGCGAAGGCAGCGCCGAGGCCGCCGCGCCCCGCCGGGCCGCCCAGCCACCGCCATGGGCAGTGAGTAGCGGCGGCGCCCCGGGGCTGGCGGGGAGGCGGCCGGACCCGGGTTGTGACCCCAGGCGCGGGCCCGGCCGGCCGCGGGCTGTGGGATGGGCAGCCCCTCGGGGTCGTCCGCCCCGCGGGTCCGGGAGGCGCGGGCCGCGCGGGGCGCTGCGCAGGGCGCGGGCCGGGGACCTCGGCCAGGCTCGTCCCAGCCCTGCCAGGCCTTGTCCTGGGCCACTGCGGGACCAGGACCCGGAGGCCTGGGCTTTGCGCCCCGTTAGGTGCCAGGAGCGCAGGCTGGCGCGGGGAGGCCATGGAATGGGGGGCGGGGGGAGTTAGAGAACTGGGCGAGACCTGGACCACTTTTAATTTCTCAGGATCTTATTGGGAGGCGATATTTTTATTCGCTTATCACCCTTCCTTTGCCTGTTTGTGGTGATGAATAAAACCCTCTGACTTTTTTTTTTTTTCATGTAATGCATGGTTTATATTTTAGGGGAGGAAGAAGTGTGATTAGTAGCATAGTTGCTAATACATCTAATTTTTCTTAACATTTTCCTTTCAGTCATTCTGCAGCTAGCGTTTTCTGAGAACGTTGTATAAGCCTGAGGGACAAGGCCTCGTATTGTGGGGATCTTTTGCGAGCCCTTTGCTAAACACTCAACAGCACATATATTCGTATAGGCTACATAGTTGTAAGGTGTTTGTTGCACGAATGGGTAACTCAGGCTGCACACCCATTGGCCAAACTAGTGGGCTTTTGGTGGAAGTTGGAAAGGCAGTAGAGCCCTCTACCCCCACCCCAATCAACCTTGAATTTATGGTAACATTGGTAAAATACTGCAACACAAGGTGGGGGGTGTGGGGGGGCTATAAGCCGACCAAAAAAAGAGGCATTGCTTGAACATGAATGTTCCAACACAGTTGGTAATAAAATACCAAGAAATCTGGTGGGTGGCATAGATTGAGGTGAGAAGGAAAAGATATTAAGAGACGCCAGGAAGTTTCCCCAGGTGATTAATAACTTGTTTTGCATTAAAGATGAATGTTTTCATAATTTACATTTGCTTTGCAAATATTAGTCCAAAATGGTACTTAGGCAGCAAACATCTGCTCATGAGAATTTCTAAATTCTTTAGCAAACATCTGTAAATGCCATCATTTTGAAAGGTTTTATTAAAAGATAGTACAGTGAACTTTTGACTAACTGGGGAAATTACTTGTCAGTTTTAAATCAATTTCATGATGTTACTATACAGAATTCATTGTCTGTAGGGGAAGATGCTCTTAAGTAATAGCTAGTTGTGACTTCTGGTGTTTCTGCACATTTCAGACCTTAGCAAAGGCTTAAGTGAGAGATTATTATCTTCATCCTCCAGTTCTTTGGCAAAACTTCGCTCATTCCAGACGATAGTATCTGTTCTTGAAGATCCTTAGCTTATCTTTTTTATATTGTAAGAGTAGTTTGGGAAAACAATACTCTCTAATGAAATGTAATTGTCATTCTCTGGCTGATTTTATTGTACATGAGCAAGTACATTGAGATGATTAAGTGGGAGAACACCATTCAATGAATAGTAACTTAATGAAATGAAGTAGAGATTGTATGCTTGTAAAAGTTATCTTCTGAAGGTCATTGCATGGTTTTTCTCATTTAAGCATTTCAGCATTTTTCAGTTTAAATTAAATCAGTTCTGCTGTTCCAATCCATTTTTCTGTTGTACTCTTCTGTTTCTCTTCTGATGGCCTCCTGTTTTCTACTATAATACATTGTTGGTGGATACCATAATAGACTGCATTTTTTCTTTTATTGATTCTAGGCTGTTCATTGAATCCGTCTTTTTTTTTTTTTTTTTTGGTATATATAAAAGGGCTGGATGCAAGCATGAGTATGCAAACTCATGGTAAAAGGAAACTTTTTTTAAATTTCTACTACTTAGCCCTTTAACCTTTTGGATTTTTTGATGCTTGAATTATTTTTCTTCCTTATGTATTTGAAATGAAGAGTAAAAGGATTAATTTTGGTGGTGGATTGACTGTAACAGAACATTTGGATTTGGTTTTTTTTTTTTTTTTTATTTTTTTCTTCAGCCAAGACAGCAGAAGGGATGGTTTATTGTGCACGTGTTACATTCAGCCAACTGAGAACAGAACTAGTCCAGAATGTCACAGGTCCAGGGCAAAGGACCAAAAGGGACTGGTTTTGGTACGAGCACGGTGGGTCTCTCAAAGGTGTTCGCAGCGACCAGATGGTGATGGATGTTCTAGATTCACTGAGACAAAGTTCTAGACAGTAGCATGCAGTCCAACAATTTGTACCAGCGTCCCTGGCCTCCGGCTTTCCTTACTTCTGTTTCTGTGGCTTCATGGGTGTTACTAGTTTACTTGGACCTCTGCCTCATCTTTCTTCTTTTGCGCTTCAGCCTGCGCATTCACTTCTTCCTCCACTTGGCTCTCATGGCGTGGAGGCTTCCGGGAAGATGGCGCTAAGGCCGAGAGAGCTGGATTTGGTTTTATAAAAAGAAATTTCTTTTTATAAAAAGATGTTTATTCTTTTTTTTTAACAGTCAAATTTTTAGAAGTTATCAAACCTTTCTGTGCAGTTTTACCAGAAATTCAGAAACCTGAAAGGAAGGTAAGTATAATTTTTCAGTAATATAGAAGATAGCCGAATTAACTTTGGTGAATTAGCAAGATTGGTTTACTTTCCGGTACCCTTTTTGTTGTAATTGGAAAACTCTTACTTTTTCTTCTCGCAATTGGGTAAAACTGTTGATAGGATAGACCTGTCTGTGTGGCTGTAGATACTTTTCTGGTATCAACAGTGACATTTCTTTAAGTTCTAGCATTTCCATAACAAGTGTCTTTGTCTCTGAGTTAGATAAGATATAGTATTCTCCTGTCTATAGTCATCCTTCATAATTGCTGTCATGAACTGTGCTTTTTAACAGTGTGATCCACTGCATTGTGAATCACCCAATGTACTGGGTTGGTTTTTGAAAGTATTCCTGGTTCACATAAATGAATTGTGATTGTTAAGGTATATACCTCCCATTTTTTGGATTCATTCAATGCAAAGAAAAATCACACAAACACATTCAGAAGCTAATGCAACTGCATCAGATTGTTCTTCCATTGGTGTGCACGTTTGGAGCTTAGATAAAGAAATTCCAGAATACTGTTCATTCAAGATAACAGACATTCCCCTCTTCTGTCTTCTAATTTCCCATGAAACTAACTGGAATATAGGGTTATAGAAGGAGGTAGGTAAAACTTTTGTTAAACTTACTGGTTTTTTTTTTAGAAGTATATATTTTTTATTGCTTTGAGATATTCTATAGCTTTTCATATTCTCTGACATTCTGTTACATTACAGGCAGCTATGCAAATTGGTATGTGTGCATATTGGATCTGTGTCTTGCTTTGCATCCTTTTCAGTCCAGTTAACATGGTCCATTGTGATAAGACCTGCCTATATTTAAATTAGTTAATTCCTGTTAAAGTATATTTGTGAAGGTCAACTTTTTGTTAGCTGCTCCTACCAACAGTAAGAGTACATATGGGAACGTATTATGACTGGAAATGTAGGTTAAGTTTAATATGTACTTTTTCTTTATATTTGCCATTTCTTGCTTTTGAGTGATCATTCCTTTTTTTTGTTGTACAGATCCAGTTTAGAGAGAAGGTATTATGGACTGCTATAACTCTCTTCATTTTCTTAGTATGTTGTCAGGTATGTAACCATAATATTAAATAAGTTTCCATACTATTCTAAGAATTTAGTTAGTTAGAATTTGACAAACTTAATTTTAGTTAAAATCATAAACATATAGGTTTTGAGCATCATTCTTTTTAATAAGTTGAAATGTTGTAATGAGTGAAAATGTTTTTCTTGTTTTATATTTCTTTTGGTTTACTTGTTGGTTTGAACATTTTTTTTTTAGTTTTCAGTTAATATTTTTTGCCCATTTTTTCCTGGAGATTTTTCTCCTTAAAAACGTAGGACAGGTTTTTGTATATAAAAAGGTTAAACCTTTGGGGCCTCCCAGTCTCAGCACTGTGAAGCTATCCACAGCCACAGCAGCACAAGTTCAATAGTAGGCCAGCCAGGGAGCTACCTACATGGCGCAGCAGACTTCTCCTGTCCTGCCCACTGCTCCCCTCAGCAGTGTATTTCAGTAGATCTGCCTACTCTGCTCGCCACTCTGTTTCTAGTGAATCCTCTCACCACCCTCACCTCTCACCTGCACCCCAGCTCTTGTATAAATAAATAAATCTTTAAAAAACTGTTAAACCTTTGACATATGTATTTTTCCATTTTGTTTGCTTTTATCATGTTGTTAATAGCATGCATTAATTTAAAAAATTCCCAAAGCCTAATTTTAGAACTCCAGAGATATGCTGTACTTATAAATTAATAAAAGTTAATGCTCTCTTTGGATAAAATTTTGCACAGATTAAGTTCATACAACTGTGACCTACCTATGTCACAGGATTATTGTGAGGATTAAGTTAGTTAATTTAAGTGGAAGTTATTTGAGGATTTTGAAAACTCTTGAGATATATATAAGAAAGTTAGAAAAAATTAGGAAGCATAAAATGATTAGATTCATATTGTGGAGAAAAGCCAAGTACATTATTTTGAAGACTGCAATGATTGAGCCTTAGAATATTTTACTACATAGTTTGCAGTTGTTTGGGTGGTCAAGTGAAGAGAACTTTTTAAAAAGTACAGAGAAATAGAAGAAAGGACAGTTATCCATATTTCTACCATTTTCTTTTGAACATACTAGAAATTCTCCTCCCCTTCATTTTAAGAAAATCAAAATTAGGGAGTTAGAATTTACACAGTACAATACATTCATTTTTTAGTGTGTATTTTGAAGGATTTGACACACATAAAAAACCAGGTACCTACTACCTCAATAGATGGTATATCAATTACTGTTTCTCTACAATATTTCCATTACCACTGTAGTCTGTGTGACTTTTCCTATTCAACCCCCATCTTCCATCCCCAGGTAGCCTCTGATCTGCTTTCTGTTCCTTTGATTTGTTTTTACAATTAAAAAAAAAAATGAGATCATAAAGTATCCTTAGTGGCTGACTTCATTAGCTTCATTAGCTTTTTTTTTTTTTTTAAAGATTTATTTATTTATACAAGCACTGGGTATAATCAAAGTGTGGGAGGGCAAGAGAATTCACCAGAGCCAGAGCAGGGAGCAGAACAGGCAGACTGACGAAATACACTGCTGACGGGAGCAGCGGGCGCGACAGGAGAGGTCTGTGCGCCATGGGAGACCCTCACTGGCAGCTGCATCACTGGGGTGGCCCTTCATTAGCTTTTTGAGATTCATACTTGTTGCTCTTTTTCTTCTTAGATTTTTGACACATGTCACATAAGGGTTCTTACCTTCTGGCTGAGAAGGGCTCTATTTCATTGTTGAATTCAGATCAGTTCCCAATTCAGTGTGGGACATGTAATCATCTGTTCTCTTAGAGTCCCATTGCTCTTTTCTCTCTAATTCTTCTCAGCTGCTTTTTCTCCACTGTCCTAACTAAAGGAGGCAAAAAGATATACCTATCTTTGCTGTTCTCCAGATTTGCAATGCTGTGGGAATTGTGAGGATTTTGTTGCCTTTCCATTGTGATGGTTAGCAGCTCTAGAACTTGTCTCTTTACTCCTCAATTTGTGTCTGTGGATCCTCTACCCCACCCTATCCCTGTGCTTCAGGTTTATTATCCTTTTTTTTATTTGCCTATTTTATAGACAGTCCCCCCACCCCTTTTTAAAATTATTTGTTGGCTTTTATTTTACATGTTATTTAAAAAATGTGTTTTCTTGTATATCATGGGAGGGCAGGTTCTGCAATTTATAATACTGTTGCTCTTTTTTTTTTGAAGATTTATTTATTTATGCATACAAGAATGGAGGTACAGGCCAGAGGTGCAGGTGAGGGAATTCACCAGAGAGAGTGGGGAACAGAACAGGCAGACTGACTGAAATACACTGCTGAGAGGAGCAGTGGGCAAGTCAGGAGAGTATTGCCGTGCCATGTGGGTTGCTCCCTGGCCAGGGATCGAACTGGTGGTGCAGAGGCTGCAGTTAGCTTCATAGGTTGCATCTTAACCCCTTGCACCACCAGGGAGGCCCTAGGTTCTGCAATTTAAATGTAACTTGCCATCTTAACCCAGAAATATCTTGCTAGGTTTTCACTTCACACTGTCTTTGGAAATTGGTAGTGCTAATTTTCTGTTTGCTCATTTCAGGGTTCTGTTAAAACTCAGAATGCTTGTTTCCCTGAGATATTAAATTATATTTTGTCAAGTTGAAACCTGTTGCTACATGTCATATAGGGTTGAAGTCTACAACTCTGTGACTGATAAATTCATAGAAAAATAACTCCTGTTGCTGTTCAACTATTGAATATGATCTTGTAACTATAGAATTTACTAGGAGGAATAAAATTAGAAACTGACTATAATAATCCTGTTGACTATAGGAAAGGAGGGGATATAATTGCTTAGGGGAGGTCAGCTGACTTTTTCTTGCTCAGTATCCCACAAAGCATCTAACCGGTAATGGCTATCTCTGTGAGATACAATTAAGGAAAGTAATTTGACTAATTGATCTTTTCCCCATTTAGGGAGTATTTTGGTATGGACTATCCTTAATGTTAATTGGTTTTTGTACAATAACTTCCTTCCTCTCCAGCGCTCACCTTAGTTGAAGTGTATCTGTAACTGTAGGGTACACAAAATATCCATGGTTCTTGCTTCATTGATTTTTTATCCATTTAATAAATTCACACATCCAGAGATTTAGGTTGACGAGATGGGTTGTTTAAAATTGTTGGCAGCAGCTTTTGGTACTTTTTTTTTTTTAATCAGCTTCATATAGAGGTTTTTGAAATTAGAAATATTTTTCTTTGTGTCTAATCCCCAAAGAGGACTGGGGGAGTTATGATCAATGCCAAGTTAGGAAGCAGTCTAAAATTAGGTGTTTCTCTTTACTGATTAAAAAGTAAGATGTGATCATTTTAGAAAGTTGGATAAACACTAAAAAGAATAAGGAAGAGAAAGCCATCATCCCACTACCTACAAATAATCACTGTTCGACTGTTCAAGATTTTTATTTAACAAATGATTATCAGTTTATTAAAAGGTTGACTTAAGTATCTGCAATGATGACTTCAGCCTCAACTTCTGGCTCAATACTGTTTAACATCTGTTTAACAATCGCAGAAGGACTGTGCAAGTCAATGAGTTGCTTGCGGATCCTCATCTGAAAACTACACCAAGTCTTAGAACCTTTACCACATAGAATTTTCTTTGTAATGATTCTCAGAGTCTTGGTAGGCATTCGAACTGGTCCTTTTACTTTGAGGGCTTGTCCTTTGTGCCTCTGATCCAGTCAGCACACACCTCTAAAGATTTCACATTGCGGATGGTTAGAGTAATTCTAATTTGCTGAATTGCCACCTCCGGTTCCACAGCTGTCTTTCCACCATCTTCAAAAGCCATGGCTGCAGAGTGGCTTCCTGACTGACTTTTTCCTCAGTGAGAGAGGACAGTGGTGAGTCAGGAAACAGGAGTCCACCATTGAGAATGCTAGTGAAACTGTTACCATGTCTTGCATGGAAAAAAAGCTATTCAGGATTTTAAAAGACTTTGTTTCATCTTTCCTATTTATATTTACAATGTTGAGCTTTTACTTTATACAGTTTTGTACTTTTCTTTGTATTCTAGGGTTTCTCAGTAGTGCTATTGAATTTTAGGTGAGAAAGTATTTTATTGTGGAGAGCTGTCCCATTCATTGTAGGATGTTCAGCATCATCCCAGACCAGCTCAATGCCAGTAGCATCCTCCCCATCCCCCAGTTTGTGGATACAAAAAAAAGGTCAACAGTTATTCCAGAAGGTCCTTGTAGGAGCTAAAATTGCCCCAGATTGAGAACCATTGTTTTATATTATGACATAAGCACTTACTCATGTTATTATACACTTTGTAAGCACAGTTTTTAGTGCTACATGATATTCCACTGTTTATATCATCTTCACTTTACATTTAGAATGTGACTGATCTTGGCTGTCATTAATGCATGAAACTTTGTAAAATTATTCTATGACTGGATAGATATAGCCTATAATTTACTGATTTTTATTTTTTTTAAGATTTATTTTATTTATACAAGAGCTGGGGTACAGGCCAGAGACATGGGAGGGTGAGAGGATTCACCAGAGACAGAGTGGGGAGCAGAACAGGCAGATGGACTGAAAGCATTGCTGAGGGGAGCAGCAGGTGAGGCAGGAGAGGTCTGCTGCGCCATGTGGGAATCTCCCTGGCCAGCCGGGAATCGAACCCGCACTGCAGAGGCTGCAGACAGGTTCACAGCGCTGCGCTTAACCTGCTGTGCCACCGGGGAGGCCCTGATAGTATTATTTTAAATCGTGGTTAAAAAAGCAAAACATTTGCCATCTTAAACATCTTGAAGTATGCAGTACAGTAGTTTTAATTATATTCATGTTGTGCAGTGGATCTTTGTACCTATAGGAGTATTTATTAGTATTTAATACTGGTAATATGTTGTAAGTAATGATTTCTGTTGTGTTTTTCTTTGAAGAACTTTACCTGTAAGGTGTGCTTGTTTTTGTTGTAGAATATGAGTAGTAGCATGACTTATTTTAGGTATTGCAAACATGAGTTTAATACATTATAAATTAAGTTCAAATGTTATATTAGTTACAAATTTATTTAATGCACTTGTGTAAAATAGTTTATGTAATATTATAGATACCGCTATTTGGAATCATGTCATCAGATTCTGCAGATCCTTTCTACTGGATGAGAGTTATTCTTGCATCCAACAGAGGTATGTGCTCCTTTGCTTGTCTCCATATTACTACTGACATCAAATAGATCCAGAAACAACTATTTTTTGACATCTACAGGAAGGGAAAGGATATAATAGAAGAAACTCATTGCCTGGGAGAAGAGACCAAGATGTAAATAGTTACAAAACTGTGTGTTTATTATAATAATAGAAATATGTATGAAGTCTCGGGGTACAGTAGAGACTGAAATGATTAGTGTGTTCTAGAACTTTGGTTTGCCATTCTTCTTGCATGAGTCATGTTTGCTTTGAAGATCTAATTAAATTTACCTTTCCCAAGAAAAATGCATTTATACTCATACATACAGATTTTATGTAAAATCTCAGGGGATTCATTGACCCTCTGAAATCTATTGTTTTGGTTTTTCCTTGGTGAATAGCCTTGATCTGTGGTGTCAGAGAGGAGATAATTCTTTTTTTTTTTTTTTTTTTAAACATTTTAAAGAGTGACTCTTTGGCTTTATTTTTTTTGCTTCGATAATATTTTTTTTATTTAAATTTTATTTTTATATTCCCCATACAATTACAACCCCCTTATTTTGACCCCAATCCCTCCTTTCCCCTCCCCCCACCCCCCATAGAGTGTCTCTGGTTTATAGTTGTTTGTTGATTTTGATATTTTCTTTCTTATAGTTACTCTTTTTCCTGGTCCCTTACTTAAGTTTTCTAGATTCCTGCTATGAGTGAGACCATCCGGTATTTTTCTTTTTCTTTCTGGCTTATTTTGCTGAGCATGATCCCTTCCAGCGCCATCCATGTTGCTGCAAATTGCATGTGTTTATCTTTTTTGAATGCTGAGTAATATTCCATGGTGTATATGTACCACATCTTCTTGATCCAGTCATCTATTTTTGGGCATTTGGGTTGTTTCCAAAGCTTAGGTATTGTAAATAGTGCTGCTATAAACTTAGGGGTGCAGGTGCTCTTTGGAATTGATGTTTCTGTGTCCTTTGGGTAAATACCTAGGAGTGGAATTGCTGGATCATATGGAAGCTCTATGTTTAGTAGGTCAAGAAATCTCAGAAAGGAGATAATTCTAAAAGAGCATTTGAATTGGGGTCCAGTTTTGGACTAAGGGAACAGAGAGAAGCTTGAACTAATGCATACGCATTGAAGTCACGGGATATATTCTGGGAGGTTTAGAGGGTCCGAGGGTGGGGTGGGGTCAGGGATGCTGGTCAGTGAGGTAGAAGAAGTAATAAGGGTTGGATCATGAGGTTTCTTGCATTTAGGTAATAGTGATTGCTGTTTTTTTGGAAACACTTTAAATAGTTATTTAATAGTCAGATATTTTGGGGGTAATATTTTTTAGATTATAAAAGTAGTATTGGATTATTTTTAAAATATACGAACTATATATATATAAATAAATATATATACACACACACACACACACACACACAGATTTATAGAGTGCTGAAAATGAAAGTCTCAGTTCTCAGGAGTAACTTCTGAAAAGATAATAATTGGTTGATGAATTAAGACCTCTTCTCTGTATACATCGTCATACATGTAAATCTATGTTTTTTTTTTCAATTAAAATTTTATTATATAACTGTTCTGCTGTTTAGTGTGTTTACTTAATACTTTGGATGAGTTATTTCATTTCATAGCCATATTGTGTTTCACTATATGGATATGCCTTGGTTTATTTAATCATTCATTCACTTCTAATATTTCCTGGGTCCTTACTATGTGCCAATCTTTGTGCTAGGTGCTGGGATTAGAGCAGTGAACAAGATGGCTTTTAGTGTCATGTAGTTTATATTATTCTGTTCAGGGAAGTAGATTCCACATGAAGTATGTTTTGGAGAAGTGGGGAGGCCTCTTTAAGGATGTGATGTTGGAGCAGAGATCTTCAGGAAATGAGAATGAGGTCCATGTGAAAATCTGTGGAACATTCCAGGCAATAGCAAGTACGGTGATCCTGATGTGGGGATGTGATAAGAACATTGAGAAGGTCGTTGTGACTAGAAGAAAATAAGGAAAGAGGGAAAAGTGGTAGGACACAGTGTAGCATGTGAGTCCAAGATCCAGAAAAGGGAGGGCTTGTAAATGAGGTAAGGAGTATATTCTAAGTACGATAGGAAACTTTTCCAAGCCATTAGAGTTCTCTTCTGTCATAAATTTAGGCTTTTCCCAATTTTATGTGATTGTAAACAATGCTTTAGCAAATGCTGTCACACTCTTACATAATTTTAACAGCATTTCTAGAGTGTTTACAATGTCTGTACATTTTATTTTTGATAGATAATACTAAATTACCTTCCAAAAAGGTTTATTATTTTATTCTTTCAGCAACTGTATATGAAAATGAGCATTTCTCTTCCAGCTGTGGAAGGTCAATAGTTAAAATTATTAACTTATTTAAGCGATAATCTTTTGTGTATTGGTGAGCTTGAATATCGTTTTATATTATTAAATATTTGAATTTTTTCTATGAGTAGACTTCATTAATGTGTTACTTTTTTGGATAATAGAAAATTCCTAATTTAAACATAATAATGGAATTTATTGAGAGGTTACTGGTTATTTTGTGAACTTTAAACAAGCAGCAGAACAACTAAGGAGGTAGAGGCACCAAAGGCAGTTCTTAGACCTCAGCTAAAAGGAGTAGGACCTGTTCTTAGTGATTCAGCTCCAACAACTCCCAGGGTTTTTGGTTCTTAGTTGAAAATTCCATACTACCAGGATTTATACCAGATTCGGTCAGATTTGGTTAGAGCTTTAGTGTTACATGGTATAAATTGGTAATGGTATTCTCTCCTATATTATCAGAATTTTCCTGAGAAAGAGCATTTTTGGGAGCAGCTGCCATATATTGCTTAATTCTTTCTTCGTTGGTTTGTTCACTTTAAAATTGATTTGTTAGAGCTCTTTGATTGGAGTAATGTGCTGATTGCATATTAGAGATTTGAGGTCTTTGTCATTTGAGATTGAGTATTTTTCTTTTAACTTTTATGCTGTCTTTTGGCACTTAGAAATTTCATGGTTGTATCTAATCATGTCATTAATCTTTTATTGTGGTTTCTATGTTTTTGTCATGTTTAGAAAGGTCTTCTGAAATTATAAGCATACTCAATTTTAGTAATTACGTCATTTGTCTTTTATGGTTAAAATTTCAGTTCATTATTGTTCCTTTATTTTGATATAAGTTATGGGTTAAGGAATCTAAGTTTAATTTTCTTTAAATGGTCAGTTATTGGCTGAAGTTCATTTAGCCTTCTTTTCTCTCCTGATTTGGAGTGCTATATTACCTATATCAAATTTTCGTTTAAGCTTGATTGGGTTTACTTTTGGACCAGATTCATTTGACTCTTACAAATTTTGGTGAGTTAACTTAAAAAAACTGACTTGTTCCCCCCAGTCTATTGGCTTTAACAATAAGAAATGTTTTAATTTTTTTCCTTTGAAAGTATCTGAGAAGAAATCAAGAATCTTCCTAAGATGGAATATTTTCTCACATTTAGAATATGCTCAGCATTTATAAAATCCAGGATTAAAGGGGTAATGTGACAGAATGGCCAATGGAAATTCAGTTTTGACCATTTAGAGTTACTTAGTTCTTCATGTTACCTTAAACACTTGGCATATTGGTTTTCTTATTTTTCACTATAATATGTACAATACATATTTTCTGTAAAGAAAAACAGAAAATGGAAGAGAAAAAAGAAAATAAAAATCATCCATAATCCCATTGGATAAAAGTGGCAATACAAAAATCTTGACAACCAGACTAAAATAATATGAAATTGTTTTTCCAGTTAAATACCAAATGAATTCAAATTGTACATAGTGTTTCAGTGTTTTTTTCCACTCACTTTCATAAACATTTTTCATGCCAACTAAATATTCTACAACATTGTTTTAAATAGCGTTCTGTGTAATTTTAAATTATGAATAGGAGTTTACTAACGGTATGTAATTTTATTTTACATTAAAATAAAGTGTTAGTTTAAATTTTTAAAATAATGATTTGAGCAGTAGGTTTGGAAGATTTCTTTCAAAGGATTTCTTTGATATTTTAAGTTTAGAGTTTACAGGAATTGATTTTTATATTATTTGTAGTAATGTTTATTCAATGCATTGTTGCAAGATTGTATCAATAAATGAGAACTTTTTAGCAGTCAGTGTTTAAGAAATGAAACTTTTTTTTTTTAAAGATTTATTTATGCATACAAGAACTGGGGGATGGGCCAGAAGTGGGGGGAGGGGGGAGAGGATTCACCACTGACAGAGTGGGGAACAGAACAGGCTGATCTATTGAAATATACTGCTGAGGGGAGTAGCAGACGAGACAGGAGAGGTCTGCTGTGCCATGTGGGTAGCTTTGTGGCCGGCCAGGGATTGAACTCATGCTGCAGTGGCTGCATATAGCTTCACAGTGCTGTGCTTAACCCCCTGCGCCACCAGGGAGGCCCAAGAAATGAAAATTTGTATGTTAACGTTTCAGTGTGTCTCTTAGTGGATATAACTAAGACCCGGGAGTTTTCTAAATTAATATGCATGTGTGTAGTAAAGATTATTTACTTCTCTCCCTTTTCTTTTTAGGGACATTAATGGAATTGGGTATTTCTCCAATTGTAACATCTGGCTTGATTATGCAGTTGTTAGCTGGAGCGAAAATCATTGAAGTTGGAGATACACCCAAAGATAGAGCTCTATTCAATGGAGCCCAGAAATGTAAGAATTAATACAATTACAGAGCTTTTTCTGAATTTGAGAATTTTCTTGGTCAATATGTTTTTCTGGTCTTTTTTTGTCTTTGGTTGTAAGCATGTACTACTTTTTCTCCAATTTTCTCCAGTGTTTGGTATGATCATTACCATTGGGCAAGCCATTGTGTATGTCATGACTGGCATGTACGGGGATCCTGCTGAAATGGGTGCTGGAATCTGTCTCCTTATCATTATTCAGGTAAGAAATCCTGGTTTATTTTGTACACAGATAACGAAGCAGTTGACCTCTTTTATTTGTTGTAACAGTTCTTTAGGTGATTGATAAGTTAACTTTCTTACTTTTGAATTATAGTATTTAATTATATCTTGATTATTGAAAAGATAAGTATTATATGAATATAAGTTAAAAAATTTCTTGTGAGAGCCTCTTCGTATATAATATAAAGAATTAGTCATCATCTGTATTTCATCAGTTAAAAGATGCACATTTTTTATATTTTACGTCTCTGAATCAGATGTTTTCTTACAATTGCCATTAGCCAGGGGGCAGTGCAATGCCTCTGTATACCAGCTTAGTCATAGGTATAAGGTAATGATTAGGACATCTCTGCATGTCGTTAATATAACATGTATGAGGTTAATTGCTCTTTAAAATGTCTTAGAAAAATTTGCTGATTTTATTGTTGCTGTTGTAATAATATAGTTGTGTGTACACAAACTATATTATGTCTAAGTCTGAAATACTTTTTGTAATAAGTAGAAAATGAAATTTCTTTGTAATGAGTTATGTCAGTTTAATTGGCAGTATTTTTTTCTTTCTTAGTGGCACACAAAATAATGGCATCACAAATAACATCTAGAACCAGCAAACTGTTATATAAACATACATATACTCTGTATTTTTTTTTTAATGCATGCTGAACAATCTGGAATGGAATTTAATTTAAACACCAACATTATTATCCCTCTACTTGGTATCTTAAAGTGTGTAAATTTTGGGAGCTATTTCTCTCACATATAACCCTTAAAGACCATTTATAAAAATTACCCAAGGACAGGATGTGCTTAGGTTTTGTAATAATAATTATTAATGCAGTTAAGTTAAATAATAGTTATTCATTGGACTTTGGATTGGAAGTGTGATTAAGTTAAACACTGGGCAGCTAGAGTCCTGGGCCTCTTGGAAATGCCTCTTGTTCTCCCTATGAACTTAGGATTGCTTTAGAAAATTTCTTTTGATGCTTAAAAGGAACCAAGTTTGGAAAAATGATTTTTGAATGAAAGCAAAATGTCCATTTTTTAACACATGTGGAGAAATATGATCATCTCTCAGACTGGCATGATTGACTTTTTTGAAAATAAGAAAAATTTTTTTTTAATAATTTTTTTTTAAAGATTATTTATGCATACAAGAGCTGGGGCACAGGCCAGAGATGGTGGGGCTGGGGAGGCGGAGTTGGAGGATCCACCAGAGACAGAGTGGGGAAGAGAACAGGCAGACTGACTGAAATACACTGCTGAGGGGAGCAGCAGGCGAGACAGGAGAGGTCTGCCTCCCCATGTGGGTTTCTCCCTGGCCGGCCGGGGATCGAACTCGTGTTGCAGAGGCTGTGGATTGCTTCATAGTGCGGTGCTTAAACCCTTCCACCACCAGGGAGGCCTGAAAATAAGAAATCTTATACGAGAGTCAAATCATAATAGATTATTTAGTGAGCATGATTCAGTACAAAGAGTTAGTACAAAGAGTTGTTCAAAATATTTATGAGATGGTAGTATTTTGTCATTTGATGAGGGGAGGAATTTTTCATGGATTGTCAGGTTCTTTGGTAGTTGCGTGAGCTCTAGTGTGTTCTCATTTGGTACACGGTACATTTCTTTAAAGAATAACATTTTTTTTTCTCCACTGTAAAAAACACTTGACTGCAAATTTATGGTTTTTGGAAATTAGTGGAGGAGTTGCAATGCATGGGGAAAAAAGATCCTCTGAAAACTGATTTTGTTATCTTTCAGTGCTTAGGATCTCTTCATATGCTTTTGTCAGTGTTGAAAGTACTGATCTACCAGCTGTTGTCTTAAGTTGTATTTCTTTAAAGCATTTACTGTGCAACCAATAGAATAACTTTGATTTTTTAAGATTCAATTGACTTCTAGCTTATAGAGCATTATGCATCAGTAAGTTTTTTTCTAGTATCTTACTAAGGATGTTTAAACTTCTGAGAAATCTTAGCTAACTAGTTCTGGGTTAATTAGATAAAATATTGACTTATGCTAGAGTCAAGTATGACTTTCAATTGATACAAAATGAAATTGAACTGTTTTTATTTTTTTTTTCCATTATCAGAAATCAAGTAATAGTTATATACCAGGAATGAAACAAGTAAAATGGATATATGCTAATTTGTTTACATAAATTCTAGTATACACACTTATATTGTGGTTAATTCTTCTAGTGTTAATGTAAAGAGAAATTTGTCATGTTTGACTATAGGTGAGTAATAGCCCTTTTGCATCTTTTTTTTGTTTTTGTTTTTAAAGATTTATTTATTTATACAAGAACTGGGGTACAGTCAGGCATGGGAGGGTGAGAGAATTCACCAGAGATAGAAGCAGGGAGCAGAACAGGCAGACGGTCTGAAGACACTGTTGAGGGAAGCAGCAGGCGAGGCAGGAGAGGTCTGCCCTGCCATGTGGGTATCTTCCTGGCCCGCTGGTAATCAAACCCCCGCTACAGAGGCTGCCGACAGCTTCACAGCACTGCACTCAACCCACTGCGCCCCCCGGGAGGCCCCTTTTGCATCTTTTTTTGTTTGTTTTTTTAGAAGATTTATTTATTTATTTATATAAGCACTGGGTATAGTCAGAAGTGCGGGAGGGTGAGAGAATTCACCAGAACCAGAGCGGGGAACAGAACAGACAGACAGACTGACAAAGAAATACACTGCTGTGGGCAGCAGCGGGTGCGGCAGGAGGGGTCTGCGCGCCATGTGGGACACTTGCAGGCTGACGGAGATGCAGCCGGCACTGCAGAGGCTGCTGGCAGCTTTGCAGCACAGCGCTCAACCGCTGCACCACCAGGGGAGGCCCCCTTTTTGCATCTTTTTTAAGGCTTTGCTAACATTGAAAATATTAACACTACTGAAGAGACACGATTGAATTAGTGTATTTTCACCTAGAAGCACCTGTGTGCTGTTATGTAAGGGTTACAACTTAAGGTATTTCTCAGTTATTCTTGTTTCATTCACTTGGTCAATGTTTTTCAATTAGAGATTTTGAAATCTTTAGAGATCTGTGCATATTGTACATTGTACAAAAACATGGAGTTAGTATTCAGTTATCACCATTTTGCTCAATGAGATGCTTTAACTTCCTGGTTTCTCATATCTCTTATAGGCATGCATGCTTTTTATCATTTTTTATCTTATTTTTTCAATTATAGAAAACATTTCTCATTTAGGTCCCTATAATTGATTTCTTTCATTAGAAAATATAAGAGTTGAATTTTCTCAGAATTTACACAAATCACTCTGTAGTCTGATGGACATTGGTCTAAACCAGGGTCTGGAGATTCTAGGTTATGATTATTTTAAGTTTGTGTTACTTTGGATAGGTCATTTCATTAGAAATCTCTGGGTATCTGTGGGTACCAATGAGTATGGGCACAGGTGATTTGGTGCCTGTGAAGGGAAAAGAAAGAAAGAGGGGAAAAAAAACCAGAAGCTGTTCTGGTTCAGTCTGTTTTTCTTTCTTTCTCCTTCACTCCTATACTCAAAAGGATCTTATTTTGTTGCCTCTAGGAAGATTGAATATATAGATTTTCCCTTAATTTAAGAAGCGTATGTGAGAATGCTATGTTGTTTCTTAGGGCATGGGGATCTTCAATAAAAAATATCGGAAACCTGTGATAATAGTTTTGGTTGACTGATAGTTTGTGGACTATTCCTTATATGGGGTCAGGTTTCTGTATTTATGATTGGGAGTATTATGTTTATTTAGTCGCTACATAATTGTGGCTTAAAAAAAAAATCTCAGCAGTAAGACCTTCTCTTATCTTGTTGAAATGTCAAATTTGGGCTTCAAACAGCAAAGGGTTATTGGCATGTGCTGTCTTAGAAGTTTGAGGATTGCATTCTTTCTCCAATCTAAAGAAAATCAAACTTAAAGACTGCAAATATAGACAAGTTAGGCTCTATATAACCATAGAAATGACAGTTAAAGGGAAAAAAAAACTTGTGGAAAGTAAGCATGCTTGCAATGTTAGCAATGTGTAATGTAGTTAGTTCTCGGGATATCAGGTATGAGGATAGGAGGTTTTCTATTGGGAAGAATTGAAATGGTATCTCCTCCTTTCTTAAGAAGGTGTCTTTAAAATGGGGACAGGTAAGAAGCATATTTTCTCCCCTCTCATGATTGGATTATGAAGTTTAATAAGGGGTTATATCATTGAGGCTGTAGGTTATTTTATTTTATTTTTTAAGATTTATTTATAAGATTTATTTATTTTATATAAGAACTGGGGTACAGGTCAGAGGTGCAGGAGGGTGAGAGAATTCACCAGAGACAGAGCAGGGAGCAGAACAGGCAGACGGGCCAAAGACACTTCTGAGGAGAGCAGCGGGTGAGACAGGCAAGGTCTGCCACACCATGTGGGTATCTCCCTGGCCTGAATCGAATCCACGCTGCAATCGAATCCACAGCGCTGCTCTCAACCAGCTGTGCCACCGGTGAGGGGGGGCCCTGTCGGTTATTTTTAATTGATGCAGATTTTCACAGGAATGTCTTCTCCAAGGGGAAAATTTAAGAATTTTCAGTTTTACAAAAATTAAAATTAAAATTAGTATGCTTTCACTTTCATCTTAAAAAAAAATTAGGAGCTTTAGAATCTGGTGAACTCTTGACGGTCTTCAATTGTATGTTAGGTATCACCGTATAGAATGAATTTTTATGTTGTTATACTCTATGTACATATGAATTTATACTTTACTTTTTTTTACTCATTCTATGGATATTATATGTAATATTTTAAAAATATCAACACATGTCACATATTTTTCCTTTAAAGCAGTATACAGGTGCCTCCTGTTTTTATATCATAATGGTCCTTTCACTTACTTGGAGGTATTTGAAATGTTTCAGTTTCTTGCTATCATAAATTCTACAACTGAATATTTTTGTTTTAGTGTGTTTTTCTATAGATCTTATTTAAACATTTGAAGAGAAGCTGTTCAGATGATGTATATAATATACCTTAAAAGTTGAAATGTCTGCTTTGTAATGTAAAATATTGGTATTTCTAATCATCAGATTTTCAGTACTAGCATCTAACCAAACTAAAAGCAGGTTAAAAGATGCAATCATAATAGTGATATTGCAACAATTAGCTCATAATTTGATCTTAATGCCCTTACTTTAAAAGTAGTCAATGGTGTTCATCTTCCCCTTTCTTTGAGTTTATTCTTGCTTCTGCTTACTTGCATTTCTTTCCCCACAGTTGTTTGTTGCTGGTTTGATTGTGCTGCTGTTAGATGAGCTGCTACAGAAGGGTTACGGCTTGGGGTCTGGTATTTCCCTCTTTATTGCCACCAACATCTGTGAGACCATTGTCTGGAAGGCCTTTAGTCCCACTACTATTAACACTGGCAGAGGTACATTGCACAGTGACTGCAACTGCACGATTTTTGCTGGATGTGTGCTGGAAAGTAATACGTATTGAGCAGTACATGCCCTAGACATCCTGGTTTGTTCTCCCAGGGATGACTGGTGCTAGCTAATTGTTTAAAAATTAATAAGTGGAGATTTGTGGAGTATGAACACTACTTCAAAGAGAATAATATCTAAATTTTAGCCTCTGCTCACTTGCAAAATCTCAGTGGTTGCAAACAGATATTTAAAACTTTGTGTAAAGCCATTGCTGCAGAAGACATTGATTGGCCAATTTTAGCATTCCAATTAAAGGTAGTGGATTAAGATTTTCAGATGAAAAAACTCTTATTCTTTGTATCAGAGAGCACTAATACTTTGCTGTAGTTTAACTTGACTTTTTAATATCACCTAAGTTTTTAAATAATTCATTCTGTCTTTTCTTACCCATCTCCACTTCTCTCAAATGGCATCCTACACTTGTACTGGTTAACACCTAAACTGATCCCACCCTTAAGAAAATAGCATTGATCATATATTAATACACAAAAGACAAGCTTGATAGAGTAACATGTAGCTTTTAATTCTGACATCTTTATTCTGCTTTGCTGCTTCTCCCTTCCCTGGCACCCCTCATACTGCTTTCTGTTCCCTAAAGTAAAGAAGAGGCAAATTATTATGAACTGAATATTTGTTTTTGTTTATTCCACTTTGGCTGTTTTTAGCAAGAATAGTCTCGAGAAAATTTCAGATTTATGCTAAAGAGATACACTTTTGCCTTAGTAATCTAAAGATTTCTAGACACTCCACACTTAGCTGTATCATAAACACTGATACGTTATTTTGATTCATATTTTTTGCCCTCAACTGGAATTTCAAGGTTATTTGTTTGACTTTTGTGGCAACTTTGGGTAATGAGTCTATAGTTAATTTCTGTCTTAATTTTTTAGGTACAGAGTTTGAGGGTGCAGTCATAGCTCTGTTTCATTTATTGGCCACTAGGACAGACAAAGTCCGAGCACTAAGGGAGGCTTTCTATCGTCAGAATTTACCTAATCTCATGAACCTCATTGCTACAGTTTTTGTGTTTGCTGTTGTTATATATTTTCAGGTAAGTATATTCTCTTGCTGAAGTAAGTGGGTTGTGGGTTTTTATTTCTTAAAAAGGAGAGGACAATGCCATTTGAAATGTTAGTATCTAACAAGTCAGTGATTCAAAATGTAGTCAAACAAATAATGCCATTCCTTTGAGTCTAAGGTACAACATATTACTGATTATGGAATAGAAAAGGATTTCAAAATGTGAAGGGGGAAAGGAAAATTTTGTTAGTGTTGTCTTTATATTCCCTTTGTTATTGTTTGCCTATCTGTTCTGTATTCTTTAATACGGATATGTACAATTCCTCTTACTCACTTTCAATTTCCTGTTTTTTTAGGGATTTCGTGTTGACTTGCCCATTAAGTCAGCCCGGTATCGAGGGCAGTATAGCAGCTATCCCATCAAGCTCTTCTACACCTCAAACATTCCCATTATTCTTCAGTCGGCCTTAGTGTCAAACCTGTATGTTATTTCCCAGATGCTGTCTGTTCGATTTAGTGGCAACTTTTTAGTAAATTTACTAGGACAGTGGGCAGTGAGTATTATTTATTTATTCTAAATGTTTAATTTTACTGAATTTCATGGTTATATTTTTAACTGAAAGAGGTGTTATATAATTGAAGCAGTTGCTCTAATATTTTTAGATTCACCTAACCTGTAATAGAATTTTTATTTATCTGGAAGAATTGGTAATTCTTATGAATCTAATACCTATAACTATTTTACTACCTAGGAAGCATTTTCACATCTCATTTGAGAGACCTTTCAGGCTGAAATCAGAACTACTCTAATAAAAGTGATTTTTCTGTTTTGTAATCCTCTTCCACTATTGTCTAGAGAGGGGAGCAGAATAGGCAGATTTACTGAAATACACTGCTGAGGGGAGCAGCCAGTAAGACAGGAGAGGTCTGCTGTGCCTTATATGGCCAGGGTTGGAACTCAGGCTGCCATGGTGATAGCGCTGAGACTTAACCCCTAGACCACCAGAGACCCCCCTCTTATTTAATAATTTTAAATTTTTTAATTTTTCCTATCCCTTATTTAATGGGAATGTTTTAATGAGGTATTTATTTAACAAGGTTATTTAATATGAAAGTTTTCATTTCTATTACTATAAAAATTTGTTGATAAAATTCCATTATAAATATTTTTTTTAAGATTTATTTTATTTATTTAAGCACATAAGAACTGGAGTGTAGGCCAGAGGTGCCGGGGCCTGGGGCGTGAGATGATTCACCAGAGACAGAGTGGGGAGGATAACAGGTGGATCTACTGAGATACTCTGGTAAGGGGAGCAGCAGGCGAGACAGGAGAGGTCTGCTGGGCCATGTGGGTCAGCTCCCTGGCTGGTGAACTCAGTGCTGCAGTGGCTGGTGTTAGCTTATAGTGCTGAGACTTTAACCCCTGTGCTACCAGGTACACCCTCCATTTTAAAGATTTTTAAAAAGACTATTTCTTGTAATGTACCAACCATATAAAGTTTAGGCAGTGAGTTATTACTCTCTTGTCAGTAGTTTATTGATCATATTCAATAGAATACTTTGGAGAACTATGTTTGTCCTAAAATATTCTTCCTTCTTTACATAGTTAAGAAATTTCCTCATTCTAAATGTAATTAGAGATTGATTGCAAATATTTTCCCTCAGGAGGAGAGTTTCTCTTGTTAGTGGTATTATAATGCTTTATTCTAGTAGTTATTTTGTTAATATATTCATGTCTTTTACTCAATAGATAACTGCTGTATAATATTGAAGGAATAAAGGTATTAAACACAAAAGTAAATCTTTAATTTATACAAACTAACTTTCTTTAAGTTTAAAACTGTTATAATTTTTAAGCTTGCAAAGTCATAAAAGTGTATTCCTTGCCAGCTGGGTTGGCCACTTGCCCTTTTTATTCTTGTTCCTTAGGATGTCAGTGGTGGAGGCCCTGCGCGCTCATATCCAGTGGGAGGCCTTTGTTACTATCTCTCTCCTCCTGAGTCGATGGGGGCCATATTTGAGGATCCCGTCCACGTAGTTGTTTATATCATCTTCATGTTGGGATCATGTGCATTCTTTTCTAAGACATGGATAGAGGTGTCTGGTTCTTCAGCCAAAGATGTAAGTGATTTGTTTTGTTTTTATTTATTCATATTTTTTTTAGGTTTAAAAAAATTTTTTTTCTGTAATACATTTATTTCAAAAACATTTTTTATTGAAGTGACATCGAATATGTTTCATTTGTGCATCATTGTAATTCAATGTCTGCATATACTGCATTAAGTTCATCACTAAGAGATCAAATCTATCCTTCACTGTACTACTGGCCCCTTTCACCTGATTTCCCCACCTCCCATTCTCCCTCTAACTGGGTATTATTAATTCATTTCTTCCTCCCTCTCCCCCTCCCCACTGCTTCCTTCCTTCCTCCTCTGGGAAGATACCTAGGAGTGGAATTCCTGGATCATATGGTGGATCTGTCTTTAATTTTTTGAGGACTACCCTTACTGTTTTCTCTATGGGCTAGACGCCCATGTTTCCTTCTTTCCTTACGTTTGGGACCTTCTCAGCTACTATTTTTTGGAATAGTTTCTCTTCCCTTCACTCTTTCCTTTCCTCCTGGAATACCCATTGTCCTCATCTTTCCTCTTCTTAGGAGTTCAATATTTCACGTAGGATCTCTTCACTTTGATTCTGTCTTCTTTCTCACTCTCTTCCCATTTGTACATTTGTATCTTCTATTTCCGAATTCTGTTTTCTACCAGGTTAATTCTATTGAAAATGCTGTCCATATTTGTCCTCATCTCATTTAGCATCTCTTTTTTATACAAACTTTTAATATTGTCATTCTCTTTAGTGGAAAAAGTTTTTGTTCCTAGATCTCCTTTCTCAGATCCTTTACTCACCTTTCGGCATTTGACTGCCTTTCCGATACCTTATTCAGCATTTACTAAAATTGTTATTCTGAATTCTCTGTCAGGTAGGTCTTCTATCTCTGTGTCCTATACAGGACGTGAGTGTGTGTCTGTGTGTGTGTGTCTGTGTCTGTATCTGTCTCTGGACTTCTCTGCTTCTGGAAATTTCCATTTCATGTTCAGATATTTCTTTCTTTCTAAGCATGTATATTGTCTGTCTTCCTTTTGAGGCACTCGGTTAATTTTATTTTTCTTTTTTGTTTACATTGGCAGCAAGTGGTGGGGAAGTGAAGAGAAGCTGAGGTTCAGACTGGGCCTCAGTCTTGGTGAGGAGGGAGGGCAGCTCTAGGTTGATGGATCACCTCTACCTCCTCTCCTCTCTCTCCAAAGCAAGCTATTTGGTGCTTCAAGGACACTAAGCTCCTGTCCCACCTCCTTTCTGCTCCTCTCTGTGGCATGGAGGGTGTTACACCAAGCTTGAGTCATGTGGTATATGTGCCAGGCAAGATATGCAGAGTGTGAGCCACTAGACACAGGCTGCCGTGCACTGCCCACCATGGGGCACCTGGTGCAGCCACTGTGTCCTTTTCCTGGTGATGGTCACTGCCATCGTGCCTGCTGCAGGGCCTGGACTGTCAGGTGCCATCGATTGCTTACTGGTGCTCTGCAGTGAGAGCAGGGGGAGAGGACATTTACACTTGCTTTGCCACTGACCAGCTTTCTGTAACTGAGTCAGGGTCACTGTGCATTTGTGACACTGCTGCCAGTGTTCTCTTGTGTGATCTTTCCAGTAGAAGGGGAGGGAGTGTCCCTTGTCCATTATCCCTTCTGCCAGCTGCCAGTCTCCCTGCTGCTGAACCTATGGCCACTGAACTCTGGGGACTGCACCCGTGGTCTTGTCCCTGCAAGCCTGCACAACTCCCTTTCCTAACAGTTCCTCTTGTAATGTTCACTGCTCCCCATAGGACAGAGGCCATGTCCTTTTCGCCTGTTCTACCTAGCTGGCTGCGACATCCTTGGCCACTTCACTATCTTTGGCCACTTCACTCACCTTCCCCACAGCAAGCCACCAACCTCAGTGCAAAACCTTCAGGAAAATCCTTTGTCGATGAATGTCTGTATCGTCCTTTGAACTAATTTTATTCTGGTTTTAGTTTCTTTTCAGTTCTGTTTAGGGGAGAGAGTGATCCAAACCTCTTTATTTCAGCATACTGTGAGGTACTTCCCTCACCAAAGGGATTAAAAATTAAAATTTCACCCTCATCCTGGACGGTGAACAATTCTTAGATTTACAATGGGTTTTATAGTCTCAACCCTACCCAACATTTTATTCCTTAGTATGTCTCTTTAGGGAGATAACAAGAAAACTTAGAAACATGGCCTTACTGCATGGCTAACATGGTTTTGCAGCATTGCAGCCTCTGCTCTTATGCCTTCTGCTGAGCAGAAGGGTGATGGAAATGATGCTGCACACATGCTTTCTGAATTTTACTTGTTAGTGTGGGAAAGCACTTCACACAGAACCTGATAGATCATAAGCTATGAAATGTTAGCACTTGATTTTGAAAGTTGTTTTTCTCTTGGCAGGTAGCTAAACAGCTTAAAGAACAGCAAATGGTCATGAGGGGCCACAGAGATACCTCTATGGTTCATGAGCTTAATAGGTAAGGTCTTATGCAGGTGTTTATGCATATACTCATGTGCATTTTGTTGCCAAGTGTTGATCTTTGTTTTAATTCATATTCAAAGTATGTTTCTTCAATTTCATACAAAAGAACCCAAATTTAACAAAAATCTTTTCCACATCAATTGACACATATTATTTTAATTGTTCCCTACATTGCTCAGCAGTTTTAAACTATTGTAGGTCAGAGGTTCCTTAGTGTTGGCTGGGAGCGCTTTAAAAACACTTAATTCCACCTCCATGAGTTGTGATTTATTTGGTCTGGGGTGGATTCCAGACATCAAGTTTTTGCTTTTTCATAATAGCATTATTGATATTATGCATAGACCTGTAATTCACACATTTAAAGTGTATGGCTTAGTGGATTTTTTAGTGTAGTAAGAATGCGTTATTACAATCTAATGTTTAAAAGTTTTTCATCACCGAGGAAGAAGCCTGTACCCATGAGTTACTCCCCATTCCTGCCCCCACCTCACTCATATCTCCTAGCTCCAGACAGCCACTTTTTAATTTCTTTTTATGGATTTGCCTATTCTGGACATTTCATATAAGTGGATTCATAAAATATATGCTCTTTTGTGAGTAGCTTGTTTTACTTCACATAATCCTTTCAGGATTTATTCATTGTTTGTCAGTAATATTCCAGTATGTGGATATACCACATTTTTCTGTTTACCAGTAGATGGAAATGTAGATTGTATCCACATTTTGATGGTCATGAACAATGCTATTATAATGTATTTGGACAAGTTTTTTGTGGATCTGCGTTTTCATTTCATCTTTACAAGGGAACAGTGATTTTAATTTTTAAATCTCAATTGAGGATGCTAATCCTCTGCCATGAAAATCATCTATTGTCTTTCCTCAGTGTCTCCAAGTTAGGGAGTCAGAAATTATTGCCTTAATCATGAGGTTTTCACCAGCATCTAACTGCTATTTATCACCCATCAATACTAGACTGTTCCTATTGGATAAAATTGTACAACTTATTCCTTTTAAGGGTCATATTTTTACCAATTCTCTGCAATCTTTGACTCAGGGTTTTGTCTTCTAGGTATATCCCCACAGCAGCTGCTTTTGGTGGGCTGTGCATTGGAGCCCTGTCGGTGTTAGCTGACTTTCTGGGGGCCATTGGCTCTGGCACTGGAATTCTGCTTGCAGTCACTATTATTTATCAGTATTTTGAAATATTTGTTAAGGAACAGGCTGAAGTTGGCGGGATGGGTGCTTTGTTTTTTTAAATGTTCCAATATTTCATTTTGTGTGTATGAAAGGGAAAATGTTTTGACATATTGTTTTTGTCAAATAATGCTGGTTCTCCTTTTCTTCCCTCACAGTTTCTTGTTTTGAAGTGCTAACTATCCCATTTCTGAAATGGGCACCGAGCTAAGCCTGTGTGCAGCATTAGTACCAGCTGCCTTAAAACTAAAGTTTACATTATTCGTTTAAAAAATGTACCTGTAGTGTTACCTGTGATGCTGGAAACCAATGCGCCAGCCTTGCCGTGTTCAGTCATGACGGTGAGAAGGTGACATGGATCAGTTTTGCACACAACATTCAAAACACTCAATATTCCCCCTACTTATTTAAAAATAAACGTAGTTCAAATCGCCACTTTCCAGTATTTTTGAGCTTATTTAATGAGTTCTGGAACATTTATATCTAATGTATATTTTAGATATAATTTTTATACTTTTTTAACTCATAGTATCCACATTCTCACGCTCCCTTTCCCTTTTCCCCTCCTCTCCCTTATCTGCCCCTTTTCAAAGCAGCCACTTAATCCAGATGGGCAAAATCAAGCTTCAGAGTTAAAGCTATTACTAGAAACAGTGGCTTAAAGGTACTACTCTTCCTGTCTTTCATCCCTCTTTCTTCCCAGTGACAGCAGTCGGTGCTGTTTGACTGTATTGGCTATGCCTTTGAATTCCAACAGGTCACTTGAGAGAGCATTCGAGATACATCCCAGTTCTATTTCTTTTTTAATCCCTAAAGCAAAGATCTAATTCTCAAGCAGTATTTGTAGTTCAGTGGGGGCAAACAAAGAGTAATTCATGCTAGGAATTTGTGTACGTTGTTGTACTTTACAGCAGCAACATGAGTGTAAACAGTAGACAATAAACTTTTATTTAAAACTGTTTGAGTTGTGTTGGAAAAAAAATCTGACATTAAGTGATTTCTAAGATAATTTGTGTAAGTTCTTCGTATTCATACAAAATCTATCCTGAAGTGCCTATTGGCAGAGGTCAAATGTAATAAGTTGTTTTTTTTTTTAAGATTTATTTTTACGTAGAAGAACTGGGATACAGGCCAGAGGTGTGGGGTTGGGGGGACGTGAGCGATTCACCAGAGACACGGTGGGGAGCAGAACAGGTGGATCTACTGAAATACACTGCTGAGGGGAGCAGTGGGCGAGACAAGAGAGGTCTGCTGCGCCATGTGGGTTAGCTCCTTGGCCAGGGATTGAACTCATGCCGCAGGGGATAGCTTCATAGTGCTGAGACTTAAGGCCCTGCGCCACCAGAGAGGCCCCAAATGTAGTAACATTTTAATCCTAAAATACTTGTGGGTCAATTCACCAACTTAAGGGTACTTGGTTTTGTGAGCAACTGTTGGAAGAAGTGTGTCAGACAAAAACAATATATAGCCTCCCTTTGAAATATTTCTTTATAAATGATTTACTTCTTAAAATCTGTGCTTTATTGTCCAAAATGAGATCAAACTTATTTAAAAGACATCGTTTTTAGAATTATGGTTTCCATCATCACGTGGTTTCTTATTAAGTACAGGAAATACGTCTTATTTAAAATTAGGAACACAACGCTAAATAGTTACAGAGGCAAGGCAGATGGAAAATAAGGCTGACAAACAGGAGTAAGGTCACTGGAGAATATCTCCTAAGGGTCTCAGGTTACCAGAGATGTGGATCTAGTGTTGTTATACCTGGTTTTGTTTTCAAGACAAGATAGAAATAATGGCTTTAACTTTTAAACGCTAGCAAATTAATAGTGCCAGCCATTGAAAACATCCAGACTGCCAGTCCACAAACTGACTGTTTTGATGTTTATAGATAACAAATAGCAGTCAGTATATGTTATGCAGTTTAGCTGTCACTTCCAAATTGCTCTCTTAGGAAGAGAAAAAGGCAGAGGATAGGTAGGGGTTATAAATCTCTTTCTTCCAGCATTTAAGAATATGTTTCTCAATTCCCTGGGGGAGTCTTTGAAAGAGCTGGTCTATTTGGAGATACTGAGTCTATATATCTTATACATGCCCATCTCTTCTTGATTTTGAGGGAGGGTGGTAACAAGGAAAATTATAGGACTTGGTCCTTGAGTGCTCAGAGAAAAGGATTAGATTTCTAGAAAATTATGATGTCCATGATTAAAAATAAGGATTTAAAAAATGATTAGCAGCACAGGGAAGATTACCATGTTAGCACATAGATAGATGGAGCTTAATTTTCTCAGTATTTCTAGGGGGAGTGGACTTTGCTATAAAGTTCTCTACTTCTACATTTCTTTTTATCCTTGTTTAAGAAATCTAGTGTTCTTGAAGATCTTGCATTTTTGCTCAAAAAGATATCTCTGGAAAACAAAATGAACCTATAGACAAATGAACTGTATTGTAGCATCTCTAGCACTAGTACCCTGATTTTATCTAGTTCTGAGGGACTGGCAGCTGCTGAAAACATGACCAGGGAGAATTGCTCTGAGACTTGGGGGTTGGAGGTGGAGGCAGGCACATGAACTGAGAAAGCAACACCCTTGGAATTGCATGAAGCCTTGGTCAGTGACAGACTTGGATGACAAGGGCGTTAGCCAGGGCATGAGTAGAAACAGTTCCATTTTTTCCTGGGTTTACAGTACTTGCTGACCTTGCTGGCTACACTCAAGAGTTTACTACTAAGACTGTTATGCCCCAAATCATGTAAATCTTACTGCTGTTTGGTTTTTGGAAGTTTCAAATACTTTTTGCGTTAAGGATGAATACAGGGAAGGGCCCAGTATTTTCATTAGTCTCTTAACTTTGGTATATGAACAGAATCAACCATTTTTTATTACCTAAGAGCTGATTCAGGTTCAGTAAGTAGGCAGCTATAAGGATGTTAGCTAAGTGTAAACATTTGCTCATCAGAGACCTTATTCTCTTGAGCTTACATACGCTACACATTAATTCTATGTAACAGATAATTCAATTACGAGGAGTCAAGTTTTTAAGGTGGGTAAACTCTGTTTTAAACACTAATACAGTGAGCAGTTATTAATATTTGCATACCCAACTACAGAATTGTAAATTTGGGGTTAAAGGTGGGAATGGTTCACCCTGTTGGGCATTTAGATCTATTTTCCTATAGAAAGACTTTTCTCTGTATTAGATTAGAAAGATAACAGCTGAACTTAAAAAACAAAACAAAACAACAACAACAAAAAAAACCCCAAAACCAAATCTAGATTAAATGTGTCTGCATTTGTGGTGTTTTTCAATATTAGCTGGAATTTAAATGATAGCTCAGCCTATCTGTAATTACAATTCCAACTACCACAAGTATTTTTTTCTTTTATTTTATGAAAAAGCTAACTTCAAATCTACATTAAACTAAGTTGAATACAAAGTCTTAGCGGAGGAATGGTGGTCTTCTTTATAAAAACATATGGCCACTGTCCTTAAAATTTAAGAAAGGGCACTTCAAATGGCTTCGTGTTTGCATGCTGCAGGGCTAGAGCGTAGGAATAGACTCTGGCATCCACTATCAGGTGCTCTTCAGTCACCAGAGCTAGAGAAGCAAAGAATACAAGTCAGATAATGAAGTCAGTAAAGGACAACATCACTTACTGTTCAATCACTATTTCCTGAGCAACTACTATGTGCCAGTTCCTATGGAAGAGGTTGCATTCAAGGCACTCTATTGTGTCAAGAATTAGGAGATATATACATAAATATGTAAAATAAAGGGTATGAGAACAGGATTACATTTCCAGGATGACATAAGAACCAAAAAAAAAAAAAAATCACAAAGCACATTTATCAGAAAAATGATTTCATGTGTTAAAACAGTAAATCCTCTTAAGTTTATAGATAAAATTATTATATTATTTATAGCTCACTACAGGGCTTTGTGAATCTGAAACTATACAGTGATGATTATTCTTGTCTTACTTAGGAATTTATGTGTCTTCCACTGCTAGGACATACATATTTTCCAATGCAAGTTAACCTGGGTACATGATAGGACTGGAATCTACCACCAAGAATGAGGTCTCAGAATCTTATTATAGCAGGCTCTTGTGAGACCTTCTGTTTCACTTTAATGGAGGTTGTCAGACCTTGACTGACTCTCCTTTCCCTGGCCACTTGTTTAGAAACAAGTGCAGAGACATACTGATCCTTGAAGGCAGAGTTACGTCCTACTCACCTGTGTTTGGTAAGTTGAAAGTTATTACTCATAAACTAAACTGAATGCTAAATACCTCCCTTCCAATTCTTCAAATGTTACTTGTTGAATAAACAACGTGATTATTTTGCATCTAGGAAATCTAGGAAAACTGATTCTTTAATCTCTCCCTCTTTTTCATATAAAATTCTTCTTTCCCTTCTTCAATTCTTGCTGCTCCCCCCCACCCCCCATTCTAAGGTTACATAGAAGGGAGAAGGAAGGCATTTTTTTAAAGGCTACTTTTCTAACATAAAGAGATAATAGCATATACCATGTAAGCACCTGTGTGCCAACATTGCCATATTTAAACGTGCTCATGCTCCTTAGAGTAAGGCTATCTGTCAGCATTCATTTTCTAGAAGAAAAGCTTAGAGGCCATGGAACTTGTTCAAAGTCATAATAACTAACACATGGCTGGTTGAACTCCAAATGTGTCAGGTTTGTCAGAGTCAGTTGTGCAGCCTTTTATTAACAACCAAGCTTTCTCTGAGTAAATAACTAATAAATTATTGCATCTCTCCAGTATTGGTATTTCTAACTCTGACTTTGAGAACTTGAGGTGGTTTATATGCTAGGTTTTAGTTTTTTCCAAAAGGTAAAGTAGGAATGGAGGCTATCTGGAAGCCTGAAATCAGTAGTTTTTGGAAAATCCCCTTTCTAACAAAAATATTAGAAATAAAGTTGTAAGCCACTATACTCATGGAAGGAAAGAGCTGCTCAAAATTTCAGGTCAAACAATGTCTTAAGTTAATTTTGGAAGAGAAAGTTAAAAATATTCAAATTATGAAGATAATCTACTCTTTATAAATGAGTGAATAGAAACCTATCCAGCTGGCATAGAAGAGCTCCTAGAAATGCTTCTGTCATTCCTTTAGTACAGTATCTTTTACTTGTATCAAAGGATACTATTTACCTACTACTTATGTGTGTAAATATATATGTATATATGACATATATTCAAGTACATTAGATTACTATACCTATACAATGTTACTTTTTGCAAAATCCCTATGCTACCCACATAACCTACTAATGGTAACAATGCAAATTTAGTTTGATTCATTATATCAGTGCATTGCATTTGGTATACAGCAGATACCTCAATATCTGTGGAAGGAATATTATCAAATTCTCATTTAAAACCTACACAAGAACTATTTGACATACTAGTATATTTGAGGATTCAACTAAGATACCTACTTATGCCTTTGACTGCCATGGGTTAAAGATTTAAAGTATAAATAGTTCTGGCTAGTCATTAGGAATATAATCTTGACTAAGCTATACATACTAAAAAAAAAAAAGCTCAAGTGAAAGCTTTCACTTAACACAGAATGTTTTGCTCATATTTTCTAGCCTGTCACCCAGAAAGGGAAATTATTATTTGTCAACTGAAGTTATATACAACAGTTCTTAGGTATTTAATGAGAGGTAATATAAAGAAATATATTCAGTACCCCATTTACTGGGGATGGGAGAAATAAAGTTGGGTAAAAAATTTATACTTACCACTAAGTCTCTGTAGCAGGCCATTCTTTGGTAAAGAAATTACTTCCACAAATTCTAAACAAACAAAGTACAAGTGAAAACAAAGCTAAAGAACCAGAGAGTCTATCTACAACAACCCAAAATGCCTGTAGCTATCATCACTACTCAAGCCATGCACGTTGTCACCACTGGGGGCTGAGTAACATACCTCCATCTCCTGCAAGTGAACAGAGAGAGTGTTTTAGCAAGACCTGGAGTGGTAAAACACTCAGACTTTAGTGCAAGATACATCAAAAAGGTTCTAAGAATTTAACAGAAGCCTGGGACTCTATTAATTTACATGGATTGTAAAAAAAAATTCCAATGGTACAGGATTATTACTGTTCTCCAAATCAAGTGTTCAGAAGAAAACGTTAAAGAATATTCTGTAACATTTATATTTTAAATTGTGTTAAAATGTGTATAACATAAAATTTACTATTTTAAAAAGTACAATTCAGTGGCATCCAGCACACTAACAGTGTTGCATAGCCATCTCCAGAACTTCACCCCAAACAGAAACAGGTACCCCTTAAACGTTAACTCCTCATCCTGCTTTCAGTTCTTTTGGTATACACCTAGGAGTGGAACTGCTGAATCATATGGTAATTCTACGTTTAACTCTCTGAGGGACTGCCAAACTGATTCTCACAGTGTATGTTTAGTGTTTACATTTGCTAGCTTAGAAACTGAGCATTTAGGTTGGCTACAATGGGTAATCAAACATTAGAAACTAAAGCTAATGAGAAATGGAAGACTATCACTCTGATAATTGATTCACCGTGGTGCAGGTGTCAACATCACCCTCCAGGGAACAGGAAAAGACATGGAATTGACAGAGGCATAAAAGCTTCTGAATCCAAGCCTAGTAAGAAATAGTACCAACGAATTTCCTAAAATCTCTGTATTTGGAAATCAGTAGAAAAGTTAATAAGCTGCTGTCCTATCACAATCAAGTCATTCTTAGAATGATTTTGAAGTTTTTCATCATTTACTAGTGAGGTGTGTAGCTCCTATTACTAAGTGGAATAAACTCCATACAGAAAATACAGAAATTTCTAATTTAAAATTTTATATAAAGCATAAAAATCAATGAAGTGGTAGGATAATGCTGAAATATACAAGATTAGGAAAATAGGTAAGCATACTGATCAAGCATCTGTGAAAGGCTATTATTCCTTTACTAAAAATCAAACTAGTACAAACTAAAAGATAGTGAATGTGATTTAGGCACCTTAAATGTCACCAATGCACACATACCTGGTTTGGGCTTAGGTCTTACATTTTCAGGGTCATCTCCATTAATAGTGACTGTCACAATGTGTGTGGTACAGTTTGACAAACCTGGATCCATACACACAGCTGTGGAGGGAAGCGACAGATCATCTTTACAGACACTAGTCAGATACTTGTTTCATTACTTAAATGTCTCTGGAGGAAGATGGCCCATAAATTAGTTAACACAGAATTTATGCAGGAAATCTAGTCTCTCTTACTCACTTAGTATGTGCTGTAGGACTGTAGAACATGTGCAGTCAATACTCACATTTTTCCCAGAGTTTCTGAGTAAAGCTAATTAAGTGTGAGAGATTAGATGGTACCAATAAACTATAAAGTCCTTTCACATTAAAAAAAAAAAAAAAATCTGCCTGTCGCGCTGGAATGAGCAAGGTTGCCAGAAGCTTCTAAGATGGTGCTTGTCAGTGCTTTTGACAAGGGGATGGTCCCTAAAGCTTCCTGTCTTGACTCAGCCAGATGCTAGAAACAAGGCTAGTGCTCGAAACAACAGCAAACAAAACTCAGCCCTTTACAACCTCAGAGGAGAAAGAAAATAGGCTTTACAGCTGTGGCACAGAAGTGCTGGTTCTGCTGCTCTTGAATATCTTGGAAAGTCAAAGAGTAGCATTTAGAGACAGAATAGCACTGTCCTCATCAGGAACACAGCCATCTTGGTCTTGAAGGAAGAATGATCTTTAACACATCCATGAAACAAATATGCCCTCTTTAAGTAGAACAAATTCCAGTGAGGAGTGTGGCAGATGGATGAGGTGAGAATGAATAAAGCTTAGAAAAATGTTAAGTATGAGAGACAATTTCACAATTCTTCCAACTTCAGTCCTTGCTCAAATTTGTTCTCATGGGGAGGGGCAGTTCACTTGGAACCAATCCTAATTCCTGGTTTTTCTCTAGTGAATTGGCCAGAAGAAGAACCATCTGAATTATGATCAGAAAGAATACCCGAAGAATTAATCCTTTTATACCTAAAACAACTTACTGCTAACCTAATTTTCAAGAATTTGTCCCCAAGTGCACCCACCACAGAAAAGGAATACAGACCTGGAGAACATTCGGCAATATCACCTTTATAGCCCGTTTCTTCCTCAAGTTCCCGAAGAGCAGCTGCTTCTGGGCTTTCATTATCATCTATGAGACCTGAAAGTCCACATCATTTGTGAGGCAGGAGAGAAGAACCAAGTTTCTTTGACCCCCTTCTTCTAACATGCTTTCTGCTAAGCTACTTGAGATCAGAGGACTGTGAAAAGTGGTTGTACAGATAAAATGGACTGAGGTTTGGAACTTTTATAGGAAACAAAACAAAAAAAAAAAGACAGGAAAAATAAAACCCTAGGCAGATTTTGTAGCTACTGTCATTCCTCATCTCTAGACCTGGATTGTTTTAATGAGTGTCTCAGCACTGACATGCAGTGTGGATGCACTCGCCCTGGGAGCAGGGCTGCTGGTGGCTCACTGGCCTAGGTCTGGGACTGCGCAATGTGTGTTTCTGTATCATGACCATGACGTGGTGACAGTGTGCTCCCTCACAGAACGACATTCAGGCCCTGTAGTGAAATGGCAGCTGACTGTCATCCCTGAGAAAAGAACTGAATGCTGGTGAATTTAGGAAACTATTGCAGTCACTGAGGAGTAAGTGGAATAGTCAAATGGGAGGAGGGCAGGAGTGACTCAGTTTTTTCCCTGAAAGTAATAAAAATATACAAAGAAAAAGTGAAATATATGCTATTCATATATACTTTAAAGGTTATTTATTTCTTCAGTGGGAAGTAAATAAGGTTATTGATTATACATTACTATGGGATGAACTTTAAAAAATATAAAACTTAAATCACAAATGCATGAGGCTTAATTTCTTCAGATGGAATAACCAAATAATGCAGTACATTAAATTCTAGATCGCTTTGCTTATTATGCAACAGAAAAAAACTATTTCAAAAAAATAAAGTTTCCCTGGTCTGAACACATATGGGAGAATCAAGATGCCTTTTTCTTCATAGTTTGGAGGTGTGAATTTGGCCTAGTTATTACTGTAAGCTTCTTGTCAGCAGCAGATTGTCAGTGATAGAAAATGAAATAAGTAGATGAAAAACAACTGCTCAAAGAGAGGCTAGAGAGACAAAGAAGAGGGCACTTGGCTTGGCAAGTAAGCTGGGATACTATGCCTGGAGTCACCTCCATGGATTAGTGGGTTACTGGAATGTGACTGGTGGCACCTCACTGCAGAAATGGTTTTGTTTTACCGAAAACCAGACAGATGGACAAAAGATGTTAAATATCAAGGCCCTACCATTCTCAGCTCTACCCTGGCTCAGTCCAAGTATCTGAGAAGCAATTCTAGTCCCTATGTTTAGTTACTCACCTGCTGGGAATTCTAAGCAGTAGGCTCCCATCGGTGGTCTGAACTGTTTTACCAGAATGATACATTCATAATGAAGAGTTCTTTGCAGCACTGGGATGACTAACACACCTGCCCCAGGAAATAAAACCAAGGAAATCCCTAATGAAGGTCATGAACGCCAGCACTTTTAGAGCAAGCAAATTAAATCCCACATTTTAAGAAACACTGCATCTGAAAATCTACCTTATATTTGCCATTCACAATAGGAAGTTTACTTTGGTAGTTATTCTCATTTTAAAATGTAATTAAAGAAAAAGTCATGACACTTCCACATTTAATTTTTCTTTTATAGAAGGCTGAGTTTTGTTGTCAGAGTTTCTTTAAAATAAAAATGAAAACTAATCATTTAGCTAAGGGTCAAGGACAAACTTTAAGGTCTATGGAGACCCATTCTCACCCTGCAGCAGCAAGGCCATTGGTGAAGTTACATTGATCTACATGTCCTTGGATTTTTCTCTATGCAAAAAGTCCAGTAAGTACTGCTGTTTGTAGTATATGCTAGCTAGACTGAATTGTGTTGTTTTAGGATAAAAGACCTTTTCTCCCAAGTTACACGGTATTAAAACCAAAAATCCCGCTGGATCTGAGAAGACACCAACCGCCCAGGGGGAGCATTAGCTCCCACCAAAAACTGCCAGCAGGAAGAAACAGCAAGTGTGGCAGCTGCTGTTTGCTTCCAGTAAAAACAGAAAACAGAACAAAATTGAAAAATTAAAGGGAAAAAAACAAGAAAGACCTATTGCCCAACTTCCCCTAGACCAGAGGTGATTTTCAGGATTGTTTCTGGGATCTTTGCAGCCAAAGCATTCATGCCTGGAAGGGAAAGTGAACTGAATGAATAGTCTTTTCCTAATTCCATTTCCTCATCAACTTATAAAGCAGTGGTCAATAAGCATAAAGTTGTGCCAAATCATATCCCCAAACTAAAGGCTCTCATCTAGATCCTTTGAACAGAATATAAATGATTTCTAGAAGTAGAACATATATATAGTATATAACTTCAAATTATACTGACTTGTATTCAGCTGTAAATATTAGTATATCATCCTATCAAAACCAGATAACAGGAGCCAGAAGTTATTTATAAAGAAAGCTTGAGTTTGTTATGTAATGTTGCAAAAAATAAATACATAATAAAAATAAAAAACAAAAACCCCCAAACAATAAACGAGGACTAGATTAAAAGATCATTAATGAAGGTAACTGCTCTGCGGCTTTGGTTACAGTAAAACAACCTCCTACACCTAGCCTTTTCCAAGGGGAAGCTTCCTTTATGAAGAACTGCAGTGGGTTTGCACTCATACCATCAGCTGACTGTCCTTTTCTGGTTGTACGTTTCACAGTTTCCCAAGTTCTGTTCAGGCAGAGAAGAAATAAAATCATCAGAGAAAAGGAGAATGTTTTAGGTTTTCTGTGTACAAATGAAACTCTACAAATGCAAAGCATGCAAATGTACTATCAAGAAAACCACCACAAACATATCTGTCTAAAAAGCCAACCGTTCTGAAAATTACCAAAGAAAATCCTTGCTACCCGGTATTAAACCCACTGGGTGTGCTGCAGAGAAAAGGACTGCTGACCATGTGAGCCATTTCTTTCACATCATCTACTTCAGTTTGGATCATAAATCTACAGGCCAGCAGCACAGCTGGTGATTACAGCTTTAAGAGCATTTAGCAGTCTATGCAACAAAAAGAGATGCTTGCAACGTGAACTTCTGAGATATTTGTACAATTCAGATTTTTAAGTCCATGACTTAACATGGTTTAGGAAAGGACCGTCTCATCTATTATTAATTGATATATCATTAAATCATAATTTAAAAAAGCAGGAGCTTCCAATTTGCTAATTGAGGGATTATTAAATTTAGGTAAGTGCTCAATTATGCATGTGTGAGCTCTTAGTGGAAAAGAAAATGGTCCCTACATGAATAAGTGAGGTGAGCAACAGCAGCTTCCATTTCCCTTTGATGGCTTTGTCCCTGACTGACTGTTTAGGGGAACAGCTATACTGAAAGTCCAGTCGTGTTTAAAGGGGGAAGGGCAGATGAGGGGAAATTTCCCCTTCACTCTCATCTCTTAAATAGAAGGGGAAAAAAAGCAGTGGTAGGAGCTGAGAGGGAAGAAACAGGTAACTCAGATCTCTTCTAAAAGATACCTGAGTGGCTGCAGGGAATGGGATGAACAGGTGACAGCATCTGTCTCCCTGTAGGAAGTGTATTAGATGCACTAGGAGGAACTCTCATACTTTTTATCTCGTTGCCCTTAAGGTTTGAACCTTGTCACGTTTCTACTTTTAAAAGTTCAGATATGTAATTAAAAGAGGAGACTGAACTGTAGATATTTCAGTATTGTACCCAAATTCTGGAGGGCACATATATCAAAATCAATCTATGAAAATCAAACAGACTACTAGGACAACTCACAGTTGCCCAGCATTCCTGTTAGTAGCAAGAAGCCAACCACCAAGCAATTCTGATAAGTAAATAATACAGATCGCAAGAGACAAAACACCTTTTGACGCAGCTCTCACTGCTGCCTCTTAAGGTTAGTCCTAAAGACTGAAGACAGTGCTGGGAAAAGCACTGAAGGTCCCATCCCAAATACACTAGGAATAAGGGAAACAAAAAGAGCAGCATCATTATAGTGGTTAAGATGAAGTAAATAAGCAGTAATGAGCCATAAATTATAAGCAATAAAGTATCAATGCATTTGTAAGAAATACAAGAACAAGAACACCCCACAGGAGCTCCACTCATCTTAAAGGGACCCTATGAGATGCACATTTGATTGAGGCAGAAAACCTTAGTTTCTACTTACCTGCTATGGAAACCCACAGCCACACCTCCTTGAGACTGCTTTCTTACTTGTAAAACTAAGGAACTAACACTATATTAACTTGAAAGCCTCTTGTAGCTTTGGAATTCTGATTCCAGTAGTTATGCCATTTTTCAGTCTCCTTTGTTAAACGAAAGCCTGTTTTGCTTTCTTCTATACTCAGCCGATACAAGAAGGGTGACAGAAGGTGACTTCAGCTCTATGCTAAACATCAGTTAAAAGGTATATTGCCAGCACAATTTTACAGGAATAAGGAATTAATTCCTTATCCTCTTCATGAACACAACAGTGGGACAAAGAATTCCCTAGCTGCTATTTTATCCTTATATCCACACTTTTATATCGTTATAGATCAAACATTTTATAAATTTATAACTCATGACCTACAGAAAAGCACAGATTCATTCTTCGAAACTTGACATTCTTGTACGAAATGAAAAATGTTTCACATACAACCTCCTTGGAGGCCACGAGGAAGACCTTAGATGTAAGAATGAAGGTGAGCATACTATAAGTAGGCCATATGTACATGGTAGAAGCTTTATTTATTTTTACATTTTGAAAGATGGACTTAATTAGGAAGGGAAGCCGTTAGAGAGGCACCTGCATAGTCACAGTTGGGCAGAGAGCTGCCTGGTAGAGGTTTTAGAGTCCACTCCCAACCTGAAGTATGTGCTCTGGAGGGGAAACTCAGACATGAGTATTTTTTGAGGGAAAAAAAAAAAGTCCCCAAATGATTTGGTTATATATCCCTGATTGAGAAATACTGTAAGGGAGGAAGGGAATCTGGTGAAGAGAGGAGCTGGTGCTAATCAATTCTGTAGACTAGCATTTCAGGTTATATTTTTGTGTTACAAATTTTTAATAACTTCTTAGGGGAAAAAGAACCAAATCAAATTACATCACTGTAAATCGGGGTCTAAATCTGTGTCTAGGTTTTCATAAAAATAAGTACATCTGGACATCCTGTGTTTTCCAAAGCTCAGGCCTTGAACATTTCTATAGTGTACTTCAGTCCTTTGTTAGCATAGTCTCAGAAGTGAGATTACTAGGTCAAAGGGATGACATCTTTATGGCTATTGGGACACACTGTGAAATGTTTTACCAAACTTTTTCCCCCTAGTTTACATTTCCATGAACAAGGTATAAGTAAGTTTTACTTATACTTATTCTCTTTAATTCTTTTTTTAAAAAAATTTATTTATGCATACAAGAACTGGGGTACAGGCCAGACGTGGGGTTGGGGGGCGGTGAGAGGATTCACCAGAGACAGAGTGGGGAACAGAACAGGCGGATTGACCTAAGTACACTGCTGAGGGGAGCAGCGGGCGACACAGGAGAGGTCTGCTGTGCCATGTGGGTAGCTCCCTAGCCGGGCGGGTATCAAACTCGTGTTACAGTGGCTGCGGACAGCTTCATAGGTTGCGTCTTAATCCTTTCGCCACCAGGGAGGCCCTCTCTTTAATTCTTTTACTTTAGAGATTAAAAATTGGTTTAACTAGAATGATGCAACATATGTTAATTATTCTGCTGTTTTATTGTCTTAGGTCCCACTAATCTATTGTACTTAGGGAGAAAGATATTAGAAGAGAATCCTGATCGGTTACCATAACAAATAAAACACACAATTTCATTTAGAGGCTGCACAAATTCTAAACATCCTAGCAATAGAAAAAATCAGATTCTTTATTTAAGCGTTTACAATAGAAAATACCAAGATTTATGCCAAATACTATAGACCATGAAAACCCAGATACGGAGCTTCTCACAAAAGGAAAACAAAGTTTACCTAGTTTTACCAGCTGGATCCATGTATGTTGTCTTTTCAAGCTTGACCCATTTTCCTTCTGAAATTACCTAAAAGGAGAATAGAAATAAGTTGGGAAACATTCAACCAAGTTATATTATCTGTCTTATTTTTATTTCAAATGTTCTCTATGTGACTCTCCCGATTATCAAGCTTCCATCTCAGTAATTCATGTTCAAGTTTTCAATTTAAAGTATTAAAAGTTGTTTTTCTGAAGGGTGGTTCTGTTGTGACAGTGTGAAATTCCTGGTGGAGGTTAGGGGAAGGAGGACTAAGAGCAACTAGAAAAATTCACAAAGAGGGGAGGGCGTTCTTGGTGCTTAAATGTTCTGGCCACTAATCTGGGTGCTAGTCCTGTGGGTGCGGTTAGTTAAGTAAATACTCATCAGGGCAACCTACTGTCAGAGATGACACAGGAAAGCTGGCTAAGGAAAACACGTCCAATGACTATTCCCATGACACATGAGTTTCCCACCCAATCTGAGAGGGCCCCAACATTGTCTGCCTTAGCATTGAGGAGTTTAGGTTATAAGGACTGACTTATCTATGGCACTATACTGAACTGAGAGGCAAACTGCACTGTGTACATAAAGTACTATCTTATATCTTTCACTTCTTGCCAGCAGCCTAATAATTATCAGCAGATCTGTTCATAGACAATAAGAAAAGAGTTTTAAATCAAAAGGAATTCCAGAAAGGGATCAGATTCCAAGATGAAGGATTTAAAATTGTTCGCTTCAATGGTTCCTGCAGAAAGAGACCTTTTAAAAGGTAAATTAAGTAATGTGCAAGATATAAATTAGTTCTGGATTTAGAATACAACAAGGAATTTAGGTTTTAAAAAGTTTCAATTCACTAACACATGCAACTAAGAGCGATATACTACAGTCCCCAGACAAGTGTAAACTGTCCCTGGTCCTAAAAGGAAGTAGGAATGTTAAAACTGTCTTCAAGAATTAAAAGCAATTATTCAAAACAACAAATAGCCTATATATTTCTTTTAAACTCAACTTCACATTGGCAGGGGGAGAGGGGCAGGGGAAAGGAAGTGAAAATCTGTACCTCCTCTGAAATGATATACTGTTGCGCGTTTTGAGAAGAATCTGTTGGTACTTGGTTTTCCATTTTCAAACTAGTCATGATAGTCCTCAGTCAAGAGAAGTTCACGCTGTAAGAGAATGAGGTTCATTTAAGCTACATTTATTTTTCTGAGTCTAACATTTGTTCATATCCACGGGTCGAAGTACCTTAGTAGCCAAGAACTTTACCAAAGCTGCTTTTCTTATAAGATCTGGGAGAACTGTCCCAGGTAGAAAAGTAAAATAAGGACCTGAATAAAAAAGACAGGGGATATTAAAGCCATACCCATTAAATTGAGCCCGGGCTCATTAAATTCCTACTGGGTACTAAGTGCTTCAATACATTCTTCAATAACTTAATAGATTTTCGGACTTCAAATCTGTCTTCCTAAGGGGAAAGAGTAGAAGGAATGTGTACCATTCCCCATTGCCACCACTCTGCTACTGTCCTATGTTAGTCCCATGTCAATCCCAACTTTTTAAGAGTTGTATGGATGGCTGCTTCTACCTCCCATTTATCTTTTAAAATATGGTAAATGGATTTGCCTTTTTAATACAATTAAAATGTATGCTTCAGTGACATATAGTACACTCACATTATTGTGGCCCCCCGTATACCTAGCACATACTTACTAGGGCTGCAAGACTGATTCGGCAGAGTAGGCCTCTGTGCCATGTGTTGTATATTGCTACTTCCTCTGGCTTACTTTACTCCTTCATTCTGGACCCTGCATGAAATTTCTTTCCACCTTTATTTATTTATTTATTTATTTATTTATTTAGTTTTTCCACCCTTATTTATTGATATACGGCTGCATATAGAAATATAGGCTGAATATTTTTTATCAGAAATTTGGAGGCACTTAGCTATCTTGCTCTGGTATTGCTGTTGAAATATCCAAGCTATTCTGATTCTTGATCTTTTCTATGTGACTTGTTTTTTTTCCTTTACAGATTTGTGACGTATTCATGTCTTCATGTTGGTGTTATTGTAGTGAGTATTCAGGTGGGTCCTTTCAATCTTGAAATTGTGTTTTCTTTTCTTTTTTTTTAATAAGGTATGTTTCTTGAATCACTTCACTATTAATTTCCTCCCTGCCATTTACTCTGTTCTTTTAGGAACTTTCATTTAGCTGTTTTACTTCCTGTATTGATCTTCTGTCTTATCTTTTCCATTCCTATATTCCTTTTCCTTGTTATTTATCTACCACTTCTCAGTGGCTGTTCTAACACTTCAGGACTGCACATTCTATAGTTCCCTAACTTTCAGGGCCTCCTAACTTTTGCTTCAGGGAAAATACAGACCAACAGGATCAACTCTTACCAATTATATTACTGGGAAAGGTGTCTGCTCTGTTTTTCCTGAGACCAAAAATGATAATTAAACACCCATCACAACTTCAATTTTCACTTAAGACGGCAAGTTTCTCCCATCTTAAAACTTATCTAACAAAACAAAAACAATCAACCTTCTCATAATCTTGTTCTCTTTCTACACTTCTTCAAAGAACAGCTGACATTATTGAGAATCTTAATTTAGCCTGCTGCAATCTACTCCCTTAATTATATCTTCCCATTACCTCTAATCTAGATATATAAGTGCTGTAATTGTAATCCCTTATTTTCCTTCACCAGTCATAACTTACCTATTACAAAACCTAAGAATTCTACCTTGTCTTATAAACATGCTATCCCTACCATCACCACTCTAGTTAAAAACAGTCTCCTACTTGGGATGAAATTATTTCCAAAACTATCTTCTGGACACTAGATTTTTTTTTTTTAAATGTTGTTCCATTTTCAATTTTACTCACAGTTATGCTGTAGAAAACTTAAAGATCACTGTTAAGTAAACTAATAAATGAATGAATAAAATGAGTCCAGGCTGGGTAAATCTAGAGAGCCATTTGTTCCTAAGAGTTAAGTTAATGTGGGGCATGCTTAGACGTGTTCTGAGGAATAGTTCCCTGTCTATTTGTCTTTATGTTAGTTGAACTCAATTTCAAAACTGCTTGGCACAAAGTTAAAAGATTCATACTTTCTGATTCCAAACTTTCTCTAAGAGATAAAGTCATCAAGATGGTGTGAGTACTGGTACATAGATAATCATCTATTCATGGAATAGAATTGGGAGTCCACAATTAAGCCCACAGATGTATGATCAATTGATTTTCAACAAAAGTGCCAAGACAGTTCACTGGCAGAAGAATAGCCTTTTCAACAAATTTAACTAAATTTGCATAAGGATGAAACTGAGGATCTACTTGATACCATTATGTAAAAATTAGCTCAAAACAGATCAAAGACCTAAAGTGTAAAAGCTAAAGCTAAAAGACGAAAAAACACAAATGTAAATCTTCATGATTTTGGATTAGGCAATGGTCTCTTGCTCAAGATCATCAACCATCAGGGAAAGGCAAGTCTCAACCACAGTGAGGGAACACTCCAGATAATTATCATATGAGACAGTAACAAGTATTGGGGATAGTGTGGCAAGATGGGACCTCCCATATGCTGTTGTAGGAATGTAAAATGGTGCAGTTGCTTTGGAAAACAATCTGGTATTTCATGAAAAGCTTAAACAGAGTTCCCATATGACATAGTAATTTCATTTCTTGGTATACACCCAAGAGAAATGCAACGTGTGCTCACACAAAAACTGATACAAATAAATGTTTATGGCATTATTATTCATAAGTAGCCTAAAATGGAAACAACCTAAGTGCCTATTAATTGATGAATGGATAATAAAATGTAGCATATCCATGCAATGGGATATTATTCAGTCACGCGAAGGAATGAAGTACTGGTACATGCTACAACATGGATGAATTTTGAAAACATTCTGCTAAGGGAAAGAAGCCAGACATAAAAGGGAAATATTTTGTAATTCTTTTTATATGAAATATCCAGAATAGGCAAACCAATAAAGACAGAAGGCGGGAAATGTCTACCAAAGGATGGGGGCTGGGGGGCGGGGGGAATAGAAAATGACTGTTAATGGTATGAGAATTCTGGAATTAAATAGAGGTGATGGTAATACTGTTATAGGGCAGCCCCGATACAAAATGGGGTGCCTGACTGTGGGTCCTCACCAGTGCGCTTAAAAGGACTTATCAATGCTCTACTGCAGGCACACACGAAGGGTTAATAAAAGGTTTATTTACAAGGGAAGGGGAAATGAGGAAAAGTACAGCTCAGGGAGAAAAATGGGAGACAAAGTTTTAAATGCGTCCTACCCAATCCGCCAATCTGGAATCCCAAATGGCACTCTGAGAGTTGGCCACAAGCCAGGAGCCGTGAAGCCAGGAGGCCAGCGACAGAGGGAGGGAGACCCCAAGGCCCACGTGTTTGGTTTTTTATACCCAACCTGGCTGCTTAACTCCACCCTCAGGTCCCAGCCACCTTCCCTTTGGTGGTGACAGGATTTGTCTTTCTCAATGTCTTGATGACTTTGGTCTGGAGTGGGGGTGGGGTCCACAAAGCCTGTATGGGATTAGCTCAGAACATTCTTTCCCCCTAACAATACAACTTTGTGAAAATACTAAAAATCATTGAATGTTACAATTAAAAAGGCGAATTTCATGGCTAAAGAATTACATCTCAACAAACCACCACCACCTTTACAGTTAAAAAACCCCAACAGGCAAATATTCAGGATAATGGATTGTTGAAGGGTCTAGAGATAGACAAAAACCAGGAGACTTGTTAAACTAAATTCTTTGGACTCAGCAGACTAGTAAGGCAATTACTAAGCAATGGTTTTATTAACCTGTAGGTTATATTTTGCCTGCTCCTTAGTGCATATTTCTGTTGTAAAATAAAATGTAGTTCTGTGGTATTATTAAAATGTTACCAACATTGTTTCATGAGCAAAAATAAGAATTCAATTTCCAATAAATACTTTGGTAGAGAAGCAAAATTTGAGGTCTGAGGTTAAGAAAAAAAATGACTATCTGTTAAAGCAATAAAGATAGCCACTCCATGAGGATGAGAAAGCATGTTTATACCCAATTCCAAAGAAGTATGTACAAATTGTATCAATATTTGAAAAGATCAAATATTGACTATCTTAGGAAACCTGTGACAGATGGCTGAAAGTGAGATACTACTACTATCTGTGGGGCTTCTAACAGCAGCAGACAGAATAGACAAAGGCCCTGCCCTCATGGACCCGACTTTTTGGTAGAAAGAAAGGGGGAAAAAGTGGGAACAATATACAAAATTTATGTCAGGTAATAAGTTTTAAGGAGAAAGAGTAAGAAGGTTAGGAAGAATGGAAAACACAGAGGGAATGTTAATCTATATGGAGTGTTCAGGAGAGACCACTAATCTGGTGACTTCTGAATGAGACATGAAAGTAGTAAAGAAGTAAGCCACTTGGATATTTAGAGACAATCATTCAGCATACTGACGATATGCACAGAGCAAAAGAAAACAGGCAGTTATCTTTTTGAAAGTACCCAAGATGATTTATTAAGTTTTAATTGTACTGGTTTACATTGTTATAGGCAATCAAAGTAGCATGCTGACCCAGAAGGAAAGATTTAACCAAAGCCTAGCTAGCTACCTGTCTCTACCTGCATGCTCTACGCCCAAATAACACAACTTTATCCACTTAGATCTTTATCTTGTAGATTTCCATTCCCTTCTATTAATAACATACATCAGAGAAGGAAACTTTGCTCTGCTTTCAGTTTTAACAGGTAAAAGAAACTAACTTTTAGGCAACCAAGCAGCATCATTTTGTGTAAAAAAATCATTATCTAGCATACTACACAAAGCTGGGATTGTTAAATTTTTACCACCTTTAGAGAAGTGACACCCTGACTCCCAAATAACTTTTCTGTGCACACCTAAACTTTTTAAAAGCAGGGAACGGCAGCTAAATGGCACAGGGCTTAGAGATTAGTCACTACAAGTAACACTAAAATAAACAAATGACATTTCCACTCCATGCTTCACACTTCACTTTCTCAACTTTTGTGAGAGCTTTCCTGGGCTGACCAAATGCTATTTTAAGGGTTAAAGTTTAATGTGAATTTTATTCACTTAAGTCATCTACATTTTGTTGCTAATGTAATACTTACAAAAAAAAAAAAAGGACCAATACTGAGTTTTCTGTTATAAATCACATAATCCACCTTGAACACTGAATGTTTATGATCTGTCAGATGTATGATTTTCCAGAGCACCAAAAACTAGTGAGGGGCGGGGGAAACCCATAGTATTCTTAAGTTCTTTCACAGTGGCAGGCCAAGAGTCTCTAAGTGGTTTTGTGAGGATGGGCAGTTCTACTAAGTGCAAAACAGATCCCAGTGTACCCTGGAAGACCTTATAATTTATTGACTTGCAAACAAGCAGAAGGACAAAACCTGCCAAAGAGATCATGCAACACAGATCCATTGGGAAGTGATAAGGAAAAAAGTCGACTTTTCAAAGGCCACAACTAAAAGGCAGTTTGATATTAGGATATAATTTAGAGATCAAGAAAGCAGGAAAGCATTTCAAGAGGAAGGAACCACAGGAAAAAAGCAGAGATACTACCTTGGGAGAGAGTTGAGACACTAAAGGAACTTGGCAAGCCCTATGGTTCTCAAGCGTTCCCTCCCTGGCCCCTCCCCAAGTCACAAAATTCTATGTAGTGTGGATGTTAAAATATGCAAACACATTTCCAAATGTTTACACAGCTTTCCCTGGACCTCCTTTCTCCCCCCAAATTTGCAAAGCCCCGAAGGACCCCAACAAGTTGGTAGCAAACTCCCGTTGCTTTTCAAACTAGTCTTGCAGTTTGCACTAATCCACTAAAGGAAGTGATTCATTTCATAAACCTGTGTATTAGTAATAAGCTAGATTCAAAGTGGGAGTTAAGATTTTCAAGTTCATCTCAGAATCTGAAAAGCCTGGCTATGCCAACTGCACACGGGCTCTTTATTATTCATTTATTACCATAACAGAATCCCTGTGATTTGCTGAGATTGCAAAGTGAAGCAAAACCTTAACAAGAAATTACATGTCTAGTCTTTCCAAAAAATTGAGTGCTGTAAACATCATCTATAATCAACAACAAAAAAAAAATGACTAATGAACTAAAATTGTTATAGGGCAGCCCCGATATTGAACGGGTTGCCTGGCTGTGGGTCCTCACCCGCGCACTTTAAAAGGGACTTATGAATACTCCACTACAGGCACACACAAAAGGTTAATAAAAGGTTTATTTACAAGGGAAAAGGAAATAAGGAAAATGTACAACTCAGGGAGAAAACAGGGAAATAAAGTCTTTAATGCGTCCTACCCGATCCGCCGACCTGGAAACCCAAAGTCACTCTTAGAGCTGGCCAGACGCTGCGAGCTGGCGGAGAGCCAAAATGGGGGACCCCTCCAAAGCCCACGTGTCTGGCTTTATACCAACCTGGCTGCTTAACCCCACCCTCAGGTCCCAGCCACCTTCCCTTTGGTGGTGATGGGATTTGGAGTTCTCAGTGTCTTTGGCTTTGGCCTGGGGTGGGGGTGGAGTCCACAAAGCCTGTATGGAATTTGCTTTGGGACATCCTTTTCCCCCTAACAAAATCATACACTTCTGAATGACAGGCAGGTCAGTTAGTTGGAATATTTTAATTGATACAGAAATCAAAGCACTCTGAAAGAAATTAAGTGGGAGATCAATTTTTGTAGTTTTTGACTGTTGTTAAAGTCAAATACTATTGTTAAAGTCAAATACTTAGGCATAGTCTAAAATAAAATACTATTCTACATTGTCAGATTATGCCAAAAAGCCACCTGGATCTGTAAGAAACAGAATCAATTAATATAGTTAGGTATAATAATCTGGGTTGTAATAAATAAAGCTTTAAAATTTTATTTTTTGTGATAGAAAGAATTCTTTTTTTGTATTTTATTTAATTTTTTTAATTTAAATTTTATTTTTATATTCCCCATACAATTACAACCCCCTTATTTTGACCCCAATCCCTCCTTTCCCCTCCCCCCAGCCCCCCAGTTGTTTGTTGATTTTGATATTTTCTGATAGAAAGAATTCTTAAATGAAGTTTTTAAAGATTATGTTTGAGGTAACACTGGTTTATAAAACTTTATTTTAGGAGTACAGTTCACACCTCAATTTTTTAAGATACTATTTTGATAACTTTCTTTTTTTTTAAAGATTTATTTATTTATTTATACAAGCACTGGGTACAGTCAGAAGTGCGGGAGGGTGAGAGAATTCACCAGAGCCAGAGCGGAGAGTAGAGCAGGCAGATTGATGAAGTACACTGCTGAGGGGAGCAGTGGGCGGCAGGAGAGGTCTGCGCGCCATGTGGGACCCTTGCTGGTGGCCGGGGATTGAACCTGCGCTGCAGAGGCTGCGGACAGCTTCACAGCGCTGCGCTCAACCGCCTGCACCACCAGGGGAGGCCCGGAACAAATTTTTACTGAAATTATGCTACTTGGTGATTTATAATCACTTACCACCAGATGATTTATAATCATTACATTTAGTTATAGTTTAACAAGAGTAAACTGACTCATTGTCCTTGGGAAGGGCAATTGGTAATAACCTCATAGTATCCAACCAGTCAAGAACCTCTGGTAATAGACCAGGCAAGATAAAACAGGTTTGGATTAGGGTGGGAGCAGTGTCAAGGAAACATAGTCAATTTCTTGCAAATAACACTTTACTATTTTATTAATTTAAGACTTTGACTATGTGGAAAGACGTTTCCAAAACTAATTCCAAGGAAATGATCTTAAAGGAAACTGGGAGATCAAGTGAAAGGGATGGTGCAGTGTTCAAACTGGGAGACATTGAGTTTCACATACTGGCAAGATAGTCAAGTAAAGAAAATGAGCAGGTAGTTGGAAATAGTAACCTAGATGGATTACTCAACGCTTCAGAGAAGGAAATGTTTTCTCATCATTTAATTTGAAATTACACAATAATCCCATCACTCCACTACAGATATTTTTCCAGATACATGAGAAAAAAGTCACTATTTCTATTGTTGTAAAGGTTTTATTGAAGAAAAGTGATGAATATAAAATCTCCAAGGCTGAGTGAAGACAAACATATGGCTGAAAAACAGTGAAAAACTTATTTAGCTGTATCCATTCAAAATAGCTGAGCACTTGTTTGTAATATAGTTATTTGATGGTTAAATGTGAAGCAAGATATTAATCAACTATGATTAATACCAAAATAACCGAACACACTTCTAAAGTCTAGAGCTTGAATAAAAGACACCTGTATCAAATTCCTTCCCTGTAATATCATATTTAAGTTCATAAACTTAGCTGCTTCTCTACAAATAACTGTATTTCTGTTTAAAACTTTTCTATATTTGAGTTTCTTGAACACTGTGTTACTGTATTAACTCCTTCCAGAATTGACTACTGTTTCTAGATTCTACTTTCTCCTATGCATTTATTAATTCCAATTTTCAACAGAAGATACCTCAGCTAAACTATCCCATGAATGGTAACAACCCCAGTTGTAACTTGCTTATTTCTAGGTCAAAACAAACATTTGAGGATCACTACATATCAGCATTGTCCTTAGATCTGGCAGATTCTCCCAACATATATGCAATGTTGCTTCTTTTCCCCCTCAAAACAGAAAGGACTGCATACTCTGGATTTCACAAGTACTGACTAGCCACCTTCCACCCCGCCAACATACCCTGCAAAGATATAATCTATTTGCCTCTGCTCTGATATTTTATCTTTAAAAGCAATGCTCCCAACTAAACCACTCAGCCAGTAACTTTTTGAGAAAACAAAACAAGAAACAATGCATATTCCTGGGTGTGTGTGTGTGTGTGTGTGTGTGTAGAGTTCTAACTCCAAACTGGCAGAAGAATCTTTATGAATACCACTCTAAGGACACTTATAGTCCGTGAGATTCTTAACCTCGTTCTAAAATAAAACTGCTTACGTGAACCAGTAAGAGCAAGGGACGGTATCTAAAATGTAAGCCCTTTCAACATAAGCCTTTTAAGCTTTAGCTCCCAAAGCTTGTAAGAAAAAAACAGGTTTAAAAGGCGTTTCTCAGCAGCTAGTCATTTCTCTCTCCTTCTTGCAAATAAACAAAGTAAGGTTAACTTTCTTAATATTCCTTTTTTTTTAAATCGCCATCTGATACACGTCATTACGAAAGGCACAGGGAAAACAGATGGTAGGGTGATGGGGGAGGGGGAAAGAGGTGGGGGAAGAAACGATCCTATCATTTCGACTGGAATTCTTCCAGTCTTAGGATCCTAATGTGGCATGGATACTGATAAATTTTGGTTGTGATTTTCCAGTATGTTATTTTTTTCCGGAGCTGGAATGAATGAACTTGACTCTCAAAAAAGAAACCTCTCCCTTTATCTCTATTTTCTAAAATTTACCTCATTTACCTCCACAGTCGAACGCCCCAGGGTCTTATAGATGGGATTCCTTCTTTATGTCTCATAACCCAGTTGCACGAGCGAAGAGGGACCACTTCCCCACCAGCAGATGCCTCAGCCACTGCATTCCAATGAACCCTGAACTGCGGCTTTCCCAGCTTTCCGAGAAGCCTGAGAAGCCCAGGCACCGCTACCCCAATCCCCAGCATCCCTCTAAACGTGCCAGCCTTCCACGCCTCCGCGCGGGCCGACCCCCAGCTTCCTGGCACGCGAGCCCCGTTTGCAGAGCAGCTCGCGCGCGGCAGCCTGCAACTGCAGATGTGCTCCCTCCCGGTTCGCCAGAGCCCCTGCGGATGCCTGGCCCGCGCCCAGTTACCTACTCCAAGGTGTGGGGCGAAGGGAAGAGTACTCCTTTGGGAAGGGGGACGAAAGAAGAAAGGATGAGTCCGAGGCTGCAGTCTCAGAAGATGCGGATGCTACCGCTGAAGATACTGCCGCGTTTCCAGATGCGGAAGATGTGCGCGCCCCCGCTCCCTCTCGGCACCCGTAGGCCCCCCCCCCGTCGATGACGTACTTGAGATTACCTTCCGGGTCAGAGTTCCTGTAGCGGCCAGCGCGGAGACGTGTGTGCTGGTTAAGATCTAAACACGGCCAGAATTCCTCTTCTGGGGCCGGGACTCTGTGTGTGTGTGTGTGTGTGTGTATGCGTGTGTGTGTGTGTGTGTGTGTTTGTGTGTATATACGAAAAGTACGCCCCATAATCCTCCTCGGTTCCTTCTGCGGCTACTTCCTCCTTGCTTTATAGACCGGAAGAGTCCTTGAAGCAAACTAGCTCGGCGGGCACTTCCGGGACGGGAGATCAGGGTTCCGGGAAGGTGCTGGAAGGAGAGGGAGAGGCGGCTGCAGCTGGAGAATGAAGAAAGAGCAGGTGCTGCACTGTCAGTTCTCCGCGTGGTACCCGCTGTTCCGGAGCCTAACCATCAAGAGGTCAGACGGGAGGGGCGACCCACACCTGTAGGCAAAAGGGAACTGCGACAGGTGGCGCGAAGCCTGTCTCCTGCAGATGTAAATATGCAGGCCTGGTAACGCCTGCACGGGAGCATCAGTGCAGAGGTTTCGACTTCTTGGTGGTGTTTGAGGTGGGGAGACTAATGAAGTCGATCCATATTCGCTGTGCTTCAGGATTTGCTGTGCCTCTCGTTGCGTGCCCGCGAGTGGGCTAGGGTAGCTCGTGGTTCAGTGACGCCCAGAGGCGGGGCGAGTAATGGAGTTTAGGTTTGGGAATGCACCCACACTCCGGTTACAGTCCCCAGATAGGGGAGATGATCGGCATAACTCAACAGTCTGGGTTTTGCTACTCGCTGGGTGACTTACTGCTTTCCGGCACTGAAATGATACAGTTCCAATGAAGTCCATCATGACGGTGTAGGTAAAGAGGTTAGTGGAGCTGTATATGGTTTGGAATGGCATGTGGTGTGAGACGAAGCCATATGGAAAAGGAGTGGAACAGTATTTGTCTTCTAGTTCTCTGGCTTACAACAGGAAATCCATCCCCGTTTTGCAGGGCAAGCAGAGGATTAACTGTTTGATTCCTCACCAGATTATTCAAGGTAATGCATGCAAGACTATCCCCAGATGTCCAAAAGCAATTATAACATCTGGAACATGATGTAAGAGTCGGCTCTCACTCATTAAGAGGGATAGTCCGAAGCAGTGTGTATTCCTGATGGGTTTTCTGTATTTTTCCCCCCAGCCCGCTCCCCTTGCGGCCTAGATTGTCCCTTATTCATGTATCAACTATCTCTGCCTTTTCATTATGTCCTCTGAGTGCAGAGTGTGAGTACAGAGAAGGAAATGGTTTTGAAATCCTGAGGGGCTGAAAGAGCATCAGATCATTCTAAAGAATTCTTTTCCGTCTTGTTATTAATATGTAGACCCTGCTTTAAGTTAGCCATGGTGTAATGGTGGTTAGTTAGAGCAGCCTGAAGAAAGATAATCATTGTATTTGACAGTGTTTGAAAAATCATACCGAAACAGAAGGAGGAGCTTCAACAGCAGCAGTGGATACAACCTACTAACATAGGATTCATTTTACTATGTGATTTTGCAGCCTTTTATTACCTTGCATAATTGAAATAGACTGTATTTGTGACCCTGTCAGACTTTTCCAGACTGAATTGTTCCTCTGCAGGCACCTTTTCTAACCTCTGATGTAGTTTTTCTTTGCTTTTACCAAAAAAAAGAAAAAAGAATGCTAAGAATTGGACTCTGGAGTCAGGACCATCTGTCTGACCTTAAATTTTGGTTTTCCAGCATCTTGAGCAAATTGAATGTGAAATTATAACTTTGATAAATCAGAGAGTAATTTTTAAAAGTGGAGTAACCCTTGAATAATTTTTTCTGTGCACAAATATGAGAGAGGATTTTTGATGATTTATCATTAATAGTAAACAAATGATCCTATACATTTTAAATTATGGTTATCTGAAACAAATTAAGCTAAAGTATGCTCAGTTAAGCAGCTTCATATCTTGTGATCATTTGAATTAAATACCACCAAAACATCCAAATAAATGTGAATTCTTAGCCTTAATGTGCTCACTGCCAACTAAAGAATGGTTTCCAGACCTTGAGTCTGTTTTGGCTTGAATGCTTTTTGTTTGCTGCATTTCCTGTGTTGCTACAGATATCTCCTGGTCTCAAAATTCTTATAGACACACTGTCTTTGTGCTCAGAATTCTTTTGAGCTTGTTGATTTCATACTTTGATTTCAGTCTGGTTCTTAGAAGTTGGCTGATTTTGATTTGTTTCTTTACCACAGAGACAATTGTGATTATATCAATATAAACCTAATTTAGTTTACTATTGTCTTTATTCATATTATTTTAATTTCTAGTCTGCTGCTGTCAAATGTATGCCTTTAACAGCTCCCACTTCATATTAAAATAAAGGGGACAGTCTCTCCCTGGTGGCCCAGGGGGTTAAGTTGCAGCACTATGAAGCTATCTGCTGCCACTGCAGCACAAGTTCTATCCCCAGTCAGGGAGGTGACCCACATGGCACGGCGGCCTTATCTTGCCCGCTGCTCCCCTCAGCAGTGTATTTCAGTCAATCTGCTTGTTCTGTTTTCCACTCTGTCTCTGGTGACTCTTCTCACCACCACCCCCCCCCCCACCTCTGACCTGTACCTCGGTTCTTGTATATAAATAAATCTTTTAAAATAAAATAAGAGGGGACAAATCAGAAATGAATTGAGTTTGTAATATTGTCTCTGCTTATGGTTGGTCTTTTAAAATGATGCCTTTTTTTGGTATGTGCTTTTTTTTTTTCCTTTCAGTGTCATTCTTCCACTTCCCCAGAATGTGAAGGATTATTTACTTGATGATGGAACTCTGGTGGTTTCAGGAAGGTAAAGTATATCAGAGAAAAGTTCTTCAAACTTTTCATAAAGAAATGTAATTATTGAATCTCACTAATGACCATATAAAGTAATTTAGCTTTAGCACCATTCCCCCAAGCCTAATGTTTGTCCCAGAATCCTTGTCAATGCTCAATTAATAATATTTTCAAATTAAGTACTTCTTTTTAATAGTAGTTGTGAAATTGGGCAGTTCTTTTCATCTCTGCCCGTAGGAAATGGATATGATGGTAAATATCTCTTTTGGAGATGAATGAGTAGGTAGAAGGAAAGTGGGCATGTTGTAATCCTTTGCACTCCTTCACTTTTTTTTTTTTTAAGATTTATTTAATTATTTATACAAGCACTGGGTACAATCAGAGGTGCAGGAGGGTGAGAGAATTCACCAGAGCCAGAGTGGGGAACAGAATAGGCAGACTGACGAAATACACTGCTGAGGGGAGCAGCGGGTGGCAGGAGAGGTCTGTGCGCCATGTGGGACCCTCAACCAGCGGCCAGGGATTGAACCGGCGCCGCAGAGGCTGCGGGCAGCTTTGCAACCCAGCGCTCAACCGCTGCGCCACCTGGGAGGCCCTGCACTCCTTCACTTTTTAAGATAAAAACATTCATTGTTCATTGCAAACAAAAATCTTTACTAGGGTTTATTGTTTACTTCTTAGCATTTTGTTCCTCTGTTAACCCACCCTCATGTACCCACCTTCTCTGTTCATGCATTTCCTCTATTTGTAAGGGAAAATAGTTACCATGCTACACTTTCTTTAGTGCAAACTTGAATCCTAACTTGAATGAAAAGAATTGAATGACATTCCTATTTTCATTCAGGCCTCTGCACAGAAGCCATGCTATCTCAGCGTTCACCCCTCACCATCTTTTCTGAAGTAGCCTACTAATAACCCTGACTGTTAAATCACTTTTTTTTTTAAGTAGAATTCTAGGTTGATGATAATTTTTCCTTAGAATTAAAAGAAAATTATTTTTATTGTAGCAAAATATAAAATTTACCATTTAACTATTTTTAAGTGTATGAATCAAGGATACTAAATAAATGTATAATATTGTGCAGCTATCACCACCATCTATCTCCAGAACTCTTATTGTCTTACATAATTGAAACTCTATACCTTTCCTTTTCTACTCTGCCCTGGAAACATTCATTCTGCTTTTCGTGCCAGCATTTGACTATTATAAATACCTCACCATAGAATGCTGGTTCTTTTGTGACTGGCTTATTTCATTTCACAAAGGTTCATCCATGATGTAGCATGCCAGGATTTTCTTCCTTTTTAAAAACCTTGAATCCTCGGCCTCCCTGGTGGCGCAAGGGATTAAGCACCACACTATGAAGCAATCCACAGCCTCTGCAGCACGAGTTCGATCCCCAGCCAGCCAGGGAGCATCTCACATGGCACAGCAGACCTCTCCTGTCTCGCCCGCTGCTCCCCTCAGCAGTGTATTTCAGTCGATCTGCCTGTTCTGTTCCCCACTCTGTCTCTGGTGAATCCTCTCATCCCCCCGCATCTCTGACCTGTACCCAGCTCTTGTATGCATAACTAAATACATCTTAAAAAAAAAAACCATCTTGAATCCCATTCCATTGTATAAATATCCCATTTTGGTACATCACTGTCCCCCTAACCTTAATTTATTTTTCTGCTTAACATTTACTTCCATCTGCCATGCTTCCCTTAAATTATTCTGTTAATATGCAGGCTCCATGAGAACAGGAACTTGAATAGTTTTGGTCAGCCTGGGTCTTAGACCAATGTCTGATACATAAGAGGTGTTTAATAGCATTAATTGGATGAACAAATCTCAGAAACAGAATTGCATATATTTTCAGTAATGCTAATTTAACCACATATTTTTTTGTCTTATAGATGATCTGTATAACTTTCTGGATTATATTTCTGTTTTTGGTATTCTCTGCCCTTTAAAAAACTGAAAATTATTAATTCACAGTTTTATTAACTTGAAATCATTGCAGGATAAGGAAACAGAATACTTAAGCACTTCTCAATATTGGGCTCTTTATGGACATAATTGTATTATTCTCAAATCTAGAACATATAATAAGCTTATATAAATGACTGTAAAGAAAATGACTCCTGCTATTGGAAAATACTTAGCAGAATTCAGTCCTACAAGCACATCGAAGAAAGTTCCTATTTTGTTTTCCAAGCACATGTTTGTGCGTGCTTCAGGTATAGGAGCCACCTTGCTAAATACTATTAAGCAGTGCTGTCCAGCACTCTGCTCCACAGTAATGCACAAATCAGGGACCCTGCCCTTTTGGATTTGACAGTTCAGTGTCATATGTTATGAGAGTTTTGTGGCATAGTGCTGGTTCTTAGATTGCCTGGAGTCAAATCATATTTTAGCTAATTTCTAGTTTTCTGTGCCTCAGTTTCCTTGTCTGTAAATGCTGACCATAATATAAAACTTGGGCCTCCCTGGTGGCTCAGCGGTTGAGTGCTGGGCTGCGAAGCTGCCCGCAGCCTCTGCAGTGCCTGTTAGATCCCTGGCTGCCGGCGAGGGTCCCGCATGGTTTGCAGACCTCTCCTGCCATGCCCGTTGCTCCCCTCAGCAGTGTATTTCGTAGTCTGCTCGTTCTGTTCCCTGCTCTGGCTCTGGTGAATTCTCTCACCCTCCCATGCTTCTGACTGTACCCAGTACTTGTATAAATAAATAATAAATCTTAAAAAAAAAACACATAATATAAAACTTACCTCATAGGCTTGTTCCAAAGATAAAAAGAGATAAGCATAAAATGTTAAGCCCAATGCTTAGTACATTGTATGCACTTAAATACTAACTGCTCCCATCATCATTAATCTCAGTCAGATGTTAAACATGCAAGTAAATGTATAAGTGAAAATTGTAAATGCTGTGAAGGAAATGGGGAGGTCAATAACATAACTACTGGATGAATTATGAATGCCTGAAGAAGCGAGTATTTTTTTTTTTTTTTAAAGATTTATTTATTTATTTATAGAAGCACTGGATACAGTCAGAAGCGCAGGAGGGTGAGAGAATTCACCAGAGCCAGAGCGGGGAACAGAACAGGCAGACTGATGAAATACACTGCTGAGGGGAGCAGCGGGCGCGGCAGTAGAGGTCTGCACGCCATGTGGAACCCTCGCGGCGGCCAGGGATCGAACCGGCACTGCTGAGGCCGCGGGCAGCTTTGCAGCCCGGCGCTCAACCGCTGTGCCACCAGGGGAGGCCCAGAAGCGAGTATTTTTGAGCCTTTGAGATACGAAGTTTGAGTGGAAGGTAGTCAGTTGAAGGGTATAGGGAAGAATCTTTCAGTCTGAGGGATCAACATTAAGGGAGGCTGTGAGGTAAATCTTGACATGCAAGAAACTAAGAGAGGGGTATGAGGGAAAAGTTAAGATGAACATATATTTGCATAGAATGTTATTTGTATTTAGGATTATTTTTTGTGTAATAAGAATCCCACACTCCCAGGACAAAGGTTATAAAAAATTTTGATATTCTTGACCAATATTGGCAAATAGCTTTCACAAACCATTGTATCAATGTTTGCACTAAACAGTAGTGTAGAATCTTTTTCAGAAGGTGAAATTTCTATTGAATGCTTTTCTTTAAGTTTCCAAGTTATTCGTTACATGGAAATTCCAAAGCTGAAAAGTCTCTGAATATGATTTCTTTAGTTTCATCTGCAGTGAAATAAATGTGGCCTCTTTTCTGTTTGAGCTTGTACTTTACTCTCTCGTTAGCCTGCCTCCCAGTGTCTCCTCTGTTTGCTTCTTGTTTCAGTTGGGTTGGTTTGGGTTGCAAATTATAGAATACCTGCTGTGGTCCAAATATTTGTGTGCCCCTTCCCCCCAGTTCATAAGTTGAAATCCTAATGCCCAAAGATGATGTTATTAGGAGGTTGGGCTTTTAGGGGGTGCTTGGGTCATGAGGGTAGACCCCTCACAAAAGAGATTAGTTAGTTCCCTAATGAAAAGTCACACATAACTCCCTCACCCCTTCATCTATATGAGGACACCCCAAGAGGGTTGTCATTTGCAACCTGGAAGTGGACCTTCACCTGAGCATGCTGGCATCCTGCTGTGGGATTTTCAGCCTCCTGAAGTATGAGAATTAAATTTCTGTTCTTAAGCCACCTGGTCTAGAGTATTTTGTTATAGCAGCCTGAGTGGACTAGGATGATATCCAGTTTTTTAAATCACTTAAATAATGAGACTGTTATTTCATACAATAAGAAGTCCTAAGGCATGGCAGTTATGGAAAGTATAGTAGTTCAGTGATGCTAGAACTCAAAGTCAGCTTCTCTGAATTTTTTGGTACTCCTTTCCAATGTCCAAGTTAGCTGAAGTAGTTTCAAGCATTTTGTCCTCATACTACCATTTCCAGGACCAGAGTAAGTGACACTTGGTTTTTATTCCCTTTCTCATGAGCAGAGAAAGCTTTCCCATGAGTCCTCTAACCACTGTTGGTCAGGGTTGGGTTATTCACTGGCAAGGAAGATGGAGTAACTGTGATTGGCTTCTAGTCCATAATCACTATTATGGTTGGGGAGAAGTCCATAAGGCAGAGGGGCCGTTAACTGAATAACTTGGGAGTTTTTATTAGCTAAGAAGTAGGGAATGGCTATTGGGGTCTGCCATAGCTCCTGATTTGTGTTTCATCTCACATTTCCTTCTATAGAATACCTTCCTTTCACTTCAGACTAAGGGACCTTGTTTATAATTAAAACTTAACATGGAGCCCAGACTCAATAAATATTTGTTGAGTGGGTGAATGAATGAACATAGTTGCATCATGCTTTTCCATGGGAGTGAATCCTAACTTGAATGAATAGTTAGGCCAAGGGTCATAACTCGGTTTATCTTATAATCTCAGATCTGATGATAATGGTTTCCTGGGTGATGTATTGAGAGGAATTCTGAGGCTGCATCTAGGGTGTTGTAAGCAAGAATGCATGGTTTGATTATCATTGCCTGCAGTGGGTGTAGGAAAGGAGGTTGGCAACCTGTATTTCTGAGGTAGGTAGTGCCTACTTTTTACTTTTTATTGCACTTTTATTGGTGCCTACTATGAGATAGGTGCTAAATGTACTGTTGAAAAACAAGATGTCCCTTAAATGGGACATCCTACTAAGGAGTCCAGGCTCAGTGGCCAAGTCAAACATGAAAATAAATAGATGCTCGGGTTTTGAGTAAAGTATCCATTACTCTGATAAGAGATGTTTTTGGAGTTTAAATAATCACTAAGTTGGTATGACCCCGAAAGTTTTTATATTAATAGAAGTGATATTTGAGTGGGGCCCACAAGTTGGGTCTAACGCAGATGAATTGACATAGTTCTTCGAAGCACTAATACTCACTGTCCCTTTTTGGTTCCAAGTTCTTTCCTGACCTTGTGTCTCTTCAGGCAGAATAATAATAATAGAAACCAATTATAATGTATGTTAGATGTGTTCATGTTAAGTGACTTCTTAATTCTTGGCACTGGGAAGATTTCTGTTTTGTTTCATTTTTTTCATGATCTTTCATGTGACTGTAATCATGCAGGCTTGACCCAGCTGGGTGGCTCCAAAATGACCTCACTCCATGTCAGGTGTTGATGGTGACCGTATCCAGCATGTCAGTCCCATCATCAGTGTTATCTGGTGCTTTTTGTTTTCCAAACCGTTGTTGCCAGATTTCTTCTGCAGTTGTCTCCTTTTTGATTCCTTTCTCCTTGGACTCTTTGCTGTCATTTTAGCAGAGTTTCAGGAGGAAACATGGGATAGATCAATGTCCATGGCCAATCAAAAGTGGTTCCCCTTTCTTTTTTCTTGAAGTTTCTTAGTCTGAATCTACTCTGGTTCTTATCCTTTTTACTGTTTTCAGTGATATGATTGCATTTTCTTAAGCCAGTAATTTATGGCTGGGTTTTGAGGTAGTGCAGGGTAGTGTTATTCTCTCTGGGCTCTTTCCGCCTTTACTTCCCCCGCTAGGCAATGCACTCAGCTGCTAGATGGCCCTTTTCAACTCCTGCTTATTAGCTCACTGGCTTCTTCATAGAGGGCGGTCTGCATCCTTCTCTCTCTTCCTCCCTCCTATACTGTTCTGTGATGTAGATCCACCGAATGCTAGTTCATATCAAGGGTAATTCCAGACATCAGCCCATATGCTCTGTTTCATTATATAAATAAAAGATTTTTGGTTTTACCCCTTGGGGTGTTGAACACCTCTTCAGACAGTTCTTTTTGATATCTTCGTTCATCCTGTTTGATCTTCCTTATCTTTGACTTTTCCATATATTGGGATTTAGAGTTGTAAATGATTCTTGATGTCATCAGAAATAGAGGTAGAATTTTTCGTGATTTCTAAATAGAGGGCAGCAGAAAGTTTTATTGCTGCCACCTTTTATTGGAAGTACACTGTCATTAATTTTATATTGATTTTTATTAGTTTCTGAATCAGAAAGTGACCTCTTCCTAGTAGTATCCTCCAATTCTAACACCTTTTTTATATACTCATTACATATGGAATTATGACTACGTGGTGCCAAAGCCCCTTTACTGCTTAATTTTTGCTTTATTTTCTTCTAGGGAAGACCCACCAACACATGCTCAACCAGACAGTGATGATGAGGCAGAAGAAATCCAGGTTAGTTCAAAATCAAATAATGTGTTCTGCAGACATTTCTAATTTAAACGATACCTGGAATGGTTCTAACAGTTAGATCTCAGCATACATTTAGTAAAATGATAAATAACATAAAAGTCTCTTTGACATTAACTTTGTCAAGAGACAGGGAAAGATGTCTTTTTTTTCTTTAAAGATTTATTTATTTATACAAGATTTATTTATTTACTTATACCTGGGGGTACAGGCCAGAGGTGCGGGAGGGTGAGAGAATCCACCAGAGACAGAGCAGGGAACAGAATAGGCAGAAGGACCAAGATACACTGCTGAGGGGAGCAGCGGGCTAGACAGGAGAGGTCTGCCACGCTGTGTGGGAATCTCCCTGGCCGGCCAGAAATCTAACCAGAGCCACGGAGACTGCAGACAGCCTCACAGCGCTGCGCTCAGGCTGCGCTCAACCTGCTGCGCCACTGGGGAGGCCCAGATGTCTCTTGTTTAATGTATGGATTTTAGATGGAGCACTGTTTTTTTGTAACCCCAGTACATTCTCTAAATGTAATCTTTTGTTTCTTTCCTTTTCTCCATGCAGTGGTCTGATGACGAGAACACAGCCACACTGACGGTAAGAGCAGAGCAGCACTATACTGTCTCATAGGGCGCTTCAAGGTGTGATCTCTCTAAATTCTCATTTACTCCCCATTTCAAATGTAGTTTTCTTTGTTGGCTATTATTGATTGGAAGGGAAACACTTATGTCAGAAAATTCCCTCAGCTGAGGATTATGAGCCAGTACATAAGGTAGGAAAATGCAAGGTATTGGTGAAAGGTAATAACCCACTGGTGTATGTGCAAAAACACCGAATTTAAAATGGTTAGGAAAAAATAATCAAGATGGGTTATTTCAAAACCAAAGCGGGGAACAGAACAGGAAGACTGACAAAATGCACTGCTGAGGGAAGCAGCAGGTGCGACAGGAGAGGTCTGCCGCGCATGTGGGACCCTCGCTGGCTGGCGGGCATCTAACCGGCACTGCAGAGGCTGCGGACAGCTTCATAGCACTGTGCTTAACGCTTGCGCCACCAGGGGATATTTATTAAATGTTACATTTTAAATATTTTAAATGTTAAATATTTTAAATGTTACATTTATGGATATACCATAAGTATAAAATAATGAATATAGAAGAATATGCTGCAATTCATAATGATGGTTGCCTTTCAGGAGAGGGGAGAGGATTAAGGAAAGTAAGAAGGAAAGGACCTTTATTTGGACAAAGCTTTGTATTGTAAAATCTGTGTACAATATTGCTAATGCAGCTCTTCAGTGAGTATTCTTATGGATACAGTTCTAGGGAGCCATTTCAGCAACTTCAAGGGATTATAAGGGAAGTATTGGCTTAATATAAATGTAATTTCCTTTGTGTGGGGAGAAGCAAGTGGAAAATAAAGGTCCCAGTACTGTTACTTATTTTGAAAGCCTGTGTAAATCACTTCGGTTTAATTTCATAGTCTAAGTACTCAAACAAGATAGATACGATGGGAGGTTGTCAACTAAGATACTGCTAACCAGTTTAATGATCAGATACAATGGAAACAGAAAGAAAGGTAATCTAACCGGCCCTTAAATGCTCCATTCTTTATTTCATTAGCCTGCTGCTTAAAACTGGTTTCTAGTTTGGGGGGAGATATTATCATTTTTTTAAGCTTACGTTTTTGTTCTGTTTCCCAGTCACAGTTTACTCTCTGTCAAACAAGGTTAGATCTTTGGGGGTCAGCATAAGTCACTAGGTTAATTTAGCTGATTATAGACCTATTCTATTTTTTTTCCTCTATGGAAGAAGTTGTCATTAATGAGTTTTCAGAACTTGCAGTTACCCAATAGAGGGCAGCAGATATAATGGTATATATAGGGGCCATAAATGACTGGAGAGAGACTCTGAATGTTTACTTTCCCTCATGACAGCTTTCTGTTTACTTCTTGTTTGAAAAGACACTTAGAATGTTTTGGTCACTTTGCTTGAATAAAATGTGCATTTTAAAGTCAACTAAAAAAGAAAGAACATTTTTACTGGACTAAGTCCTATTTTTGAGTTTTGTTTATATTAAAACTTGTCTGGAAATAGCATTGCCTAGTTTACCATATAATTTATTTTTCATTCTCATGAAGCTTTTTGGGGAATTGTCCAAGAGTCTTCTGCAAACGGAAAAGCTTCTGTTTCTTTAACTTGAGGTGTTATTTCTGGGAATTGGAGTATATGTATGTGTGATAGGGTATCCATCTGTCTCTCTATTTGATAAATATTGGTTTTGTGAAGGTACTAAGGAAACCATCCTTCCTCACATCCTCACATGCAGAGTGACATTTGTCTTTTTATAGCTTTATGGATTTTGATTGTTTTTGAAAATGCCACTTGAACACTTATAATTTTTCCCCCTTTTTGATAAATGTTATCTGTGCATTGATTTTATTGAGCAGAGTTCAGTGATTCTGATAGTAATTTGTATTCTAAATTAGTTTGAACACCCTTAACAGCTTAACCTTGAGATTTTGATCGTCTTCTATTTCTGGTGATACTGATTTGCCTGAATGATTTCTTCTTTCTCTCTGTAGGCACCAGAATTTCCTGAGTTCACCACTAAAGTCCAAGAAGCCATCAATTGCCTAGGGGGCAGTGTATTTCCTAAGCTTAACTGGAGCGCACCAAGGGTAGGAACATATCACTCAGTCTCTCATTATCTTAATATTTGTTTTGTTATTCATTTTATGTTATACTCCACAGAGCATCTAATTATATTCCTAGTACAAGAAAAATACTATGGAATTTATTTTTATTTTCCCCATTATTTTATTGTCCTGATTGTGCAATAAATTTTCATAGTTCTGCAGAATACTATATATTTTGCTAAGTCAGCTTCAACCTCTTGTGTTGCTAATTGTTCTAGAAATCTGAGGAAATACATTCTTTACCCTTTTAAAAATCCAGCTGTTCTGTTCAATAGAAATTTTTTCTCTGTTGGAAAGTAAGTAATAAAAAGTAAAATGTCATTGGATCTATAAATAGCAGTTTGAGAAATCAACTTATTTTCTTAAATTGTGTTTTATTATTTTAACATTAAATTAACAAGTTTTTTTTTTTTAAGTTTGGGTCTGTGGAAAAATTCACTATTTTCTCTAATCCAGTGGAAAAATAATTTTATATGAGCAAAGCTCATTTAATGTAATTAAGGACTTAGTTGCATTTTCAAAAACCTATGTGCATATCTTATTCTGAAATGAACCCTAAAGTGAACTTTATTTTTATTTTTACTTATTAAAATTAGTTACATATTTAAATTTTCAGAAGACCTGGAAGCTTGTTACAGATGCCAGTAGGTCTTCTCACCTGTTTTGTTTTACCATTTCTCACTCCTCAGAGGCAGCTACATTCAGATACTTTAGTGCATTTAGTTATTTTCCTCTTCTTTATTTTTCAGTTTTAGGTATTTATCACTGACTTCCTATTCTAGAGCAGCTTCAGCACCCTTTCATCTCTGTCCCCACTGCTTTCTATTCCAGTATTCTCATTATAGTAATACTTGTATTTTTTATTAGACCAGAATTTTGAATAGATCAGTATTAAGTATTTCTGGTTTGATTATTATCCAAACAATATGTATACTTCCGATACATACTATTTTATAATTACTTAGGTTCTTCTAATCAACATTTTGTTGTGCCTGGAATTAATAATTGTCCTGTTTTTTTTATGGTGGCATGATTGTCTATGTATAGACTGTTGTTTCAGCAGAGTTAAATATCTACATTCCATATACCACTTGTAAATAGAATTTTGTCATCTTTTCATTGGGAGAAATGAAATCATGATTTAGACAATCACAGTTTTGTTATAAGGATGCAGGCAGAGAATAGCAAGTGGTATGGCATGAGTTATTATAAAGAAGTTGTTGAAACTTAGTTTATATATGAGCATTAATTTGAATTGTCCCTTGCTGCTGAACTGTGTTGAGTTAATATTATGATGGCTTAGAATATCTCTCCTCTTTTTTCCCAAACTTAACAGCCACTGGTGTTAACTGCTCTAATCATCAAACTTCAGGTGTTCTAGCTGAAACTCCCCAGAAATAGGAAGAAAGGAAAGATCTCCTTTTTCATAAAGAAGAGCTGGTCAGGTTATTTCTTTATACCTTGATCTACTGCCTGAAGTGTAGGCAGTTCTGATGCCTTTTAGTCCCCTTCTGTCATCCAGTAAGAAAAACATAGGGAAATGCTTGTGTCTGAGCTGAAAGGTGAAGCCCTCGCCTTTCAGTATTCATAGCTGAGTGTCTGACATGCAGTGTTACTGCTGTTTGTTGTTTAGAAGTCTAATTTAACTTTTGACTGTATAGCTAAAAGTTGTTACCTGACTTTTTCCTTTGAAATATTTCCCTTGAAATAATAAACATTACTGTTTTTGTGTATAGTCCTGATGTGGAATATATACTAAATAACATGCTTTATTTTTTAGGATGCCTACTGGATAGCAATGAATAGTTCTCTGAAATGTAAAATCCTCAGTGACATCTTTCTACTGTTTAAGAGTTCTGATTTCATCACTCGTGACTTCACTCAGCCGTAAGTATGTCTTTCACTCTTCTGTGTTGTGGTCTAGAACTTGTAAGAGTTTTTCTACAGGTGAAATTCTACTAGCTCTAGTACTGCTGTAGACAATAGCTCCATATGACACAAATATTTAATGTTCTCAAATGACCTGTTACAGAATACCTTTTTTTTCTTTTTATAGTAAATGCTATACTAGAATATCCCTAAATATCAGGGACTTTCTATATATCTGCCTATTAAATATTTTGGTAACACACTATTTATTGTAAAACCAGCATATGCTTATCATAGGAAAACAAAATTGGGGCTATAGCAAAACAAAAACAGGAAATGTAAAGGTACCCATGATCTCGCCACAGTTGGTTTTTTTTTTTAAAGATTTATTTATACAAGAACTGGGGTATAGTCAGAGGTGCGGGAGGGTGAGAGAATTCACCAGAGATGGAACGGGGAGCAGAACAGGCAGACAGACTGGAGACACTGCCTCAGGGAGCAGCGGGCGAGGCAGGAGAGGTCTGCTGTACCATGTGGGTTTCTCCCTGGCTGGCCGGGGATTGAACCCGCCCTGCAGAGGCTGTGGACAGCTTCACAGTGTGGCACTCAACCCGCTGTGCTACCGGGGAGGCCCCACATTTGGTTTTATGTACGTCTAGAATTCTGTTTATGCATAGGTTTAATGTAGATACATGTGACTCTAGCTATATTTGTGTGTGTAGAAGAACTGGGGTATAGGCCAGCGGTGCAGGGGGTAAGAGTATTCACCAGAGACAGAGTTGGGAGCATTCAGTAGGCAGATTTACTGAAATACACTGCTAAGGGGAGCAGCAGGCAAAACAGGAGAGTTTTGCTGTACCATATGGGTTAGCACCGTGGCCGGGGATCAAACTCATGCTTTAGTGGCTGCTGATAGCACCTCTGTCCTACACCCCAGTTCTTCTATACACACACACAAGAATATAAAGACAGCTATATCTACATTAGACCTATGTGTAAATAGAATTCTAGAAGTACACAAAACCAACTGTGGCGAGATCATAGTAGTTACGATCCCTCAGGCTGTAGAGGTGACAGCCAGCACTGAGACTTAACCCTTAGGCCACCAGGAGGCCCCTATTCCAATATTTTAAAATAAAAATGGGGTTACATTGTTCATATTGCTTAGTAGACTGCTTTTACACTTATGTGTAAAATATATAGCAGACATCTTTATGTGTCATTAAATACCTAAATTCAACATTATTTTAAATTACCTTAATAGTGTTCCACTGCAGATCAGATCTATAGCATAGGTTGACCAATCCTCTATTCTTAGATAGAATCCTTCACTGAATAATATCCTTGAGTTAGATCTGTTCACTGTCCTAACTTTTGCCTTAGGATAAATATCTGGAAGTGGAGTTGCCATATTTCTTCCTTTCCAGTTGTTTCATAACTAAAGAACTTGACTTGGTGCTATCTTCTCTGTAGGTAGACAACACCTGCACTGTTGAGCTATCAGTGATCTCTTTGTTTCTTATGTTCTGTCATCAAATAGCAAATAGGATGAGATTGCTCATCCTACCCCATTTTAAACAAACCAATTAAACCAATTTAATCTTAAAACTGACCTTTAAAATAAAGCATATTACAAAATCTAGAAACTAAGCTGGTGATTGGGGTGAAAATATTGTGCATACCTGCCACTTCTTCCCCATCCATCCAGTTTCATATGTAACTGTCAGTTTGCAAGTTAATAGAAGACCAACTGAAAATAGCTTACATAGGTAGGGATTAGACTTATTGAGTCACAGGCTGATTCATTAATGATTTTATTGATTAAGTGCTGCTTTAATATGTCAAAGCAAAAATACAGTGTTTAATAAGTTTGAAAATTGTCTATTTCTAGGGTTAAATCAGTGACTCACCCAGGCTCTTTGAGTTTTCCTACTGGTATCTTTAGATTATTGGCTTGATCTTTGGGTTTATCACCTGCTGGTCTCAATTTTGCTGCTATAATTCTGAGTTTCATGTGAACATGTGACATATGAATCAAAAATAGGGGGGCTGTGATGTATTTCCTTTTATTTTCTATATGTGAGCAAGTGAAGCATTCTGGAAGTCTCCCAGGAAACTTCTTGACAGGCTCATGGTCACACAGTTATTAGTTACCCAGCCAGTTGGCAGAGAGAACAGAGTTGCTATGGATGGTTTAGACAGTAACTGTCAAACTTCAGCATATATCAGAATCATCTAGAGGGTTTGACAAAACAGATTGTTAGGTCTCACCCCTGAGTTTCTGATTCAGTAGGCCAGGAGTGGGGCCTGAGAATGTGATTTCTAACATGATCCTGGTTCTTCTAGTTCAGGTGTACTTCAGAAGACTACTTAGATTAGTCATACATGTATCCCTGGGATTCTAAAGGGGACCACGAAGCATGAGTGCTTCCTGATGTAAGCAATCACTATTCAGTTATAAGGATGCGGGCAGGGAATAGCAAGTGTGTCTGCCACAGTTGAAACTTGGTTTAGAATAATAATTACTCTTATTTATCTTGTTCCTCAAAAGGCTGTTGTACACAAGACACTTCAAAATGTGGAATTTGATATATGGCATATTTAGCATAATCTGCCTGGATTATACTTGCTGACTGAATTATTTGCCCAATATAAACATTCTACATGATTAGATTTGTTGAGTCACAAGGCTGATTTTATTAATAAGCACTTTAATATGTCAATGCAAACAAAAAAGAAGCTATGTTCAGTTAGCGTTTAGAAAAAGTGACTGAGTGAAATACTTAACCTATTAATTATTTCTCTGGGGTCTCCTGAGTAAAAGATAAATTTGACTAATGGTTAGGAAATTTGTTTTAGTAATCTAAGCGATATTATGTATTATGTTCAGTATAATTTTTATACATTTTTTTCTTAAGATCACAAAATTTGGTTTTGAGTTATATGTTTATAAATCCTAAAATTCAGCAACAAAAAGTCTTTGGAGTAAAATTTTATATGTAAGTAGACCTTACGGAACCATTATCTTGTGATTTTTAAGTACCATTTTTCTAGTTGACAATTTTTTTTCTTTAGATTAAATTTATTTTTTTTTAAAGATTTTGTTTTTGTACAAGAACTGGGTTACAAGCTAGAGGTGCGGGAGGGTGATAGGAGTCACCAGAGACAGTGTGGGGAGCAGAACAGGCAGATGAACTGAAATACACTGCTGAGGGGAGTAGTGGGCAGGACAGGAGAGGTCTGCTGCACCATGTGGGTAGCTCCCTGGCCGGCCGGGAATGGAATCCGCACTGCAGAGGCTGCGGACAGCTTCACAGTGCTGCACTCAACCTGCTGCACCACTGGGGAGGCCCTAGATTACAATTTTAGATAATGTATGTGATTTGTTTGAAGAAGACTTCAATGAAAATTCTAGTGAACACACCCAGTCATTCTTAGTTCATTAACGTTCCTTTTTCTTTGCTTTTTTGCTATGGTGAAAATCTTAAGAATGTAGTCACTGTACCAAAACTCTTATTTTGGTTCCTGGTGGATAATAAAAGGTCCAGCACCAGCAATTTGATGCTTAAGTTTTCCCTGGCCTCTATATTTTTCTTTTTTTTTCTGCCCAAGACTTAAGGTTTTTTCTTATGTTTAGAAATCATTTACTATGTAAGGAGGTCAGATTTTAAAAAAGCTATCAGTGAAGATTGTGTTTTAGTAAATATCTATGACATGCCACTTTTAAAACATTATTGATTTTATTTTCTGCCATTTTATAAAGCTTTAATTATGATGCTTACTTATTGTTTATAAAAATGGTGAGGGCCTAGGACTGATCACAAAAATCTACAAAGAGCTGATGAGACTCAACAAAAACAAGGAAAATAATCCAGTCAAAAAATGGGCAGAAGAGCTAAAAAGAAACTTCTCCGAAGAGGAAATACAAATGGCCAACAGGCATATGAAAAAATGTTCAACATCGGGGGCCTCCCCGTGGCGCAGCGGTAGAGCGCTGGGTTGCGAAGCTGCCCGCGGCCTCTGCGGCGCCGGTTCAATCCCCGGCTGCTCCCCGGCCACCGGAGGAGGGTCCCACATGGTGCGCAGACCTCTCCTGCCGCCCGCTGCTCCCCTCAGCAGTGTGCTTCGGTCCTTCTGCCTGCTCTGCTCCCCGCTCTGGCTCTGGTGAATTCTCTCACCCTCCCGCGCTTCTGACTGTACCCAGTGCATGTATAAACAAAACAAACACACAAGCAAACAAATAAATAAAGAAAAATATGCCTCTATTAAAAAAAAAAAAAAAATGTTCAACATCACTTGCAATCAGGGAAATGCAAATCAAAACTACCATGAGATACCATCTCACACCAGCGAGAATGGCACATATTAAAAAAACTAGCAACAACAAATGTTGGTGAGGATGTGGAAAAAAAGGAACTCTCCTGCACTGCTGGTGGGAGTGCAAACTGGTCCAACCCCTATGGAAAGTTGTGTGGAGATTCCTCAACCTACTAAAGATAGAGCTCCCATATGATCCAGCAATTCCACTCCTAGGTATTTACCCAAAGGACACAGAAACATCAATTCCAAAGAGCACCTGCACCCCTATGCTTATAGCAGCACTGTTTACAATAGTTAAGCTTTGGAAACAAGCCAAATGTCCAAAAATAGATGACTGGATCATGAAGATGTGGTACATATACACCATGGAATATTACTCAGCATTCAAAAAAGATAAACACATGCAATTTGCAGCAACATGGTTGGAGCTAGAAGAGATCATGCTCAGCAAAATAAGCCAGAAAGAAAAAGAAAAATATCGGATGGTCTCACTCATAGCAGGAATCTAGAAAACCTGAATAAAGGACCAGGAAAAAGAATAATTATAAGAAAGAAAGAATCAAAATCAACAAACAACTATGAACCAGAGACACACTATGGGGGTGGGGGGCGGGGAAAGAAGGGATAGGGGTCAAAATAAGGGGGTTGCAATTGTATGGGGAATATAAAAATAAAATTTAAAATAAAATAAAAAAATA